ACGATACTTCACGTCTTTGGATATGGCTTCGGGGTTTCATCAAATTCCGATTCACGAGGAATCCATTCACAAGACAGCATTTATAACTCCAGACGGCCATTTCGAATATTTGCGAATGCCATTCGGCCTTGCTAACGCTCCAGCCGTATTTCAGAGAGCCGTGAATCTCGCCCTAGGCAACCTGAAGGACTCAATTGCACTAGTTTACCTAGATGACATTTTGATCCCGAGTAAGACACCAGAAGAGGGCTTTTCTCATCTACGATGTGTTTTGAAGGCACTTAGCGATGCAGGTTTTTCGTTGAACATCAAAAAATGCCGATTTCTCCAATCTACTCTGGAATACCTTGGCAGAGAGGTATCGGGTGATTGTGTAAGACCAGGAAAAGCCAAAACTGAAGCACTCATGAACTCGCCGACGCCAGAAAATGTGAAACAAGTACGCCAGTTCATGGGTCTAGCAGGGTATTTCCGCAAGTTCGTGCCTGAGTTTGCCAGTCGGACAGCATGCATAACTCGACTAACCAAGCAAGGTGTCCCATTCCATTGGGGTCAAGAACAGGAAGATGCGAGGAAGTATGTTATTGACCATCTAACATCAAGACCATTGCTGGCCGTATATGACCCGGAACTTCCGACAGAACTGCATACTGATGCAAGCAGCATCGCATATGGGGCTGTTTTAATTCAAAAACATGGAAACCTGTCCAAGGTAGTTGCTTACTTCAGTAAGCGAACGACCGACTGTGAAGCCAAGTACCATTCCTACGAGTTGGAGACTTTAGCGATAGTTCAAGCTTTGAAACACTTCCGAACTTATTAGCTTCCGATTAAATTTGTCATCGTCACCGATTGCAATTCCATCAAGGCAACCTCTACTAAGAAAGACTTGGTACCCCGAATAGCTCGCTGGTGGGTGTACCTCCAAGACTTCAATTTTGAAATAATTTACCGAAAAGGAAGTAGTCTCCCGCATGTTGATTATTTGAGCAGAAATCCTGCAAAAATTTGCCGAGTGACGCATAAGAGTTGGGCATACATCGAGCAAAAAGGGAACGAAGAAGTCCAGAATATGCTGCAACAACTCAGAGAAGGCAACCTTGATGCAAACCAGTATACTGAAAACGATGGAATGCTGTATCATAAGCAAGTGAATGCTGACGGTACGACGAATTTGCAATGGTTTGTTCCTAAGCAAAGTCGCTTGGGCCTATTGCGCATTTTCCATGATGAGCAGTGTCACGTTGGACCTGAAAAGACATATGAGTCTATTGCTCAACATTTTTGGTTTCCGAGGATGAGAAATTTTGTCAAGCATTGTGTAATTTGTGCAGTAAAGAAAACGAGAACAGGACCTCTACAGGGGTTCATACACCCAGTGGACTTACCGAAAGAGCCATTTCATACGCTGCACATGGATTGTTTGGGTCCTCTACCAGCCTCTACTGATGGCTTCAAACACGTTTTGGTAATAGTGGATTCTTTTACCAAGTACTGCATTTTAACACCCATGAAGTCTGTGACTATTGCAGAGGCGCGTGAAAAGCTGCAGAATGTTCTAGCGTTGTTTGGAACTCCTAGACGAATAATAATGGAAACGCTGCCACGTCATTTAAGAACACCACGTTTCCGAAATACCTGGATCGATTGGGGCATCGAATACCATTTGTAACTCCAGATGTTCATAGGGGAAATGGACAGGTGGAGCGCTACATGCGAACCATTAGAAACCTGATGAGAATTTGATACTCAAATAAAGGCAGAATGCCCGAACGGGCTATGGAAGATTCAACTTGTTCTCAATTCAACTTTACAGAAAACCATTAACGCGACTCCTTTACAGCTGCTTTTTGGGCATCCGAAGCTCAACTCCGATGATACAAGCCGTGCTGAAGAATGTTTCTATGGATCTGACTCCCTTGCGCAACCGAGAATTGGATCGTCAACGATTAGCAGAAAGGCTGTCCGTTGTGCAAAACTGCGATAATGCGAACAAAAGGAGAAGAGACAATGTGCAATTTCAGTCGGTGATTTTTGTTTTCGGGCGCATAATGGTGTATCCAAGTTTCATCTGTAGTAATTAATCGGCGCCAAAACTACGAATTTATTGCGCCTAAACGTTTTTGGTCTAACGTGAGCCAAACGCGGCAGCCAACGCGCGGACAGCTTTCTCATGCCTAAATATTGATTAATATGTGACAAACACATTCTTTTGACATGTTGATAACCTCTGATATCTCTCTACCTCAATCGACGGTCGTCTAGGAGCACGTTTCTGGACGTCCCGAACTTTCATCGCCTTCCAGCTCTTACGGCACGTTTAAATTCAGCTGCCCAAGATTTCACTGTAGTAAATGATGGTACAGGTACAGATGTGGCTTGCTAACGCATTATGGTTACGATCAGTTGCATCTAGATGCTAAAAGAGTCAGTGCTGCTTGCTTAGGTAGGTCTTCTAGATGCAATTCAAATCAACAGTTTTGAAAATTTTCAAAAGCTTTCACATTTATTGACAGTCACCTAAGTGAATCATGGTTAGCTGTGGTAAGTTGTATTCACCGTTATTGGCGGTTACGTCATCAACGTGATATATGAAATACGTAAACAGATCAAGTCTCTTCACCATTTACCCAATTAAGGCCCGTATCGTCAGTCGACCCTACAATTGTAGGGCGCGTTTATGGCCTCCTTGATTGTCATAGTTTTCTACTTCTTCGTGTCAGAACTCTATTTTGAGGTTATGTCACAAACATCTATTTGCAATCAAATTGTGCTTGCTTTTGAGTATATCATGTTTTATCAGCCTGAAATTTTCCTACAATTTAAAAAGAAAACATATCTTCACAATAGGAGAGCGCTGACGCTGACACGGGACAAGTGTAATCTAGAAATTTTTGAAGGAGAGAAAGGAGTATGACAATCAAGGAGTCCATAAACGCGCCCTACAATTGTAAGGACGACTGGGCCTAAGGGAAACCGATTTGTCACTTACTTATTTGGTGTGACCTTACAGGACAAGTGGAAACTAGGTAGCAACAACAGATTGACGAAGAGCCAGTCGGTCGACGCTCTGAATGAAATAAATAAAGGTGGAAGCCACATAATCAAGAACAGGAGTGGATTTTACGCACAACCAATCGCCAACCTATGGCGTTCCAATTTACTACGGACCTTTGGATGGTCCAGACTTCTTGATCTACAAGAAACAAGTTGACAAGCTGACAAGCAAAATTCACTCAGCAACACTTCTGCAGATGATGTACAAAAGTATAGAGATGTTGCTCTATAAAATATGGATTATTAATAATGCGAAGCTTTGTATATATTTTTATTAATAAATGTTTTTATATAACGGAATAAGACTTGTCATTGTTGCGAAAAGTATAGAGGAAATTTATCTATGTATTTATTTTTATTTATTTAGCAACATCCAACAACCATAGCCTTTTACAGGATGGATAAACATGAAAATATAAACAAATGCATGTAGTGAATGTATGTAGAGAAAGCTAAAACGCTGCAACATCGAAACAGAACTGCGAGGAAAAAAGCGTAGTAGCTTTACCTCCCAGCACTCAACAATCACACCGGCAAGCATTAACGAAAATAAGCACTAATGTCTCCCAAAGTCGCACAAAACGAAAATATATCTAAAACGCTATTAACTGAATTATAATTACGGCACATTATATACATGTCAGTCCTGGGTCTGGCTAAGTAAAGAGTTAAACTAGTTCGTGACGCTAATCTAGGAATTAAGTAGTTAAGTGTTCTAAGATGACGCTGGAGTCAATAATGCCATGGATGAGCTTATGAGTGAACTTAAGTGAATTCTTTTTGCGGCTGCTCTCTAAATTATAGATTTTTGTGTCTCACCATCAACTCACTATGAGGAAAGCCAATAGTAGGATTATATCCCGTCAGCTTTGTATGAGAGGTATTTTGAAAACTTCTTTGGACGGACTCTAAGTGGTCAATATTGTAAGCAACGAGAATTTTCGGGAGCCGCTGCCGGTCACGGAGAGTACTGCTGCGTTATCTGCTGTTATCACTTCGACCAGCCGTCGACAGTCAGTCTGAGCAGAAACGTTGGGCGGTGCGCGTCGTGCCCGGATTCCCTGCCGCTCAGTTATATCGATAAACAATATTTGTTCGTAATAAAGGTGTATTTAACCAAAACTAGTGTTTTTTCCGCATTGTTTCTAACATCAGAAGTGAGATTCGCCCGCGACAACCACAGTGGATTGTGATTTGTTCGTAAACATTGGCGTTTTTTGTTGTTGTTGTTTTGCGAGAACAAAGGAAATCGGGCCAGCGTTGGGACTACTTCGCAATAGTTTGAAAGTTGAGCCGTGGTGCGTGTCTGGATCACGTATTGGAGGTGCTAGTAAGGAAACAACAATGGCGGACGAAGACCCCGCCCAGTCGCTGGTAACAGAATTGGTGAAGGCCCTGCAGTCCCAAAGGTCGGCAGAACAGGTAGACTTGCCCTATTTTAGACCCGAAATAAATGAATCCAGTAAATGGGTAAGTCAAATTGAAACTATTAAGCAGGAAGTTGGATGGTCTGACGTTCAAACTCTGGCAAGGATTGGTCGATTTTTGCTAAGCGGTGCCAAAAGATGGTTTGAACGTTGGAACCCAGATAACAGGGATTGGGTCACCTTTCGAAATGATTTCATTGATGCATTTCCTCCAAAAAGAAATTTGGGGCGTTGTTGGAGGAGGCAACAAAATTCAATAGTTCTTATGCCAACACTTATGAAAGTTATGTGCATGAAAAATCAGCCATGCTCAAGAACTTACGTGCAAATTGGTGTGAAAGCGATCTGGTTGAACTCATAGTTTACGGAATTTCTGAACTAAAAGTGCGCAATGCCGCGATGAATGCTAACTGCAGAAATATTTTCTCAATTATTGGTTTTCTTGTCACCTTTCGTTAAGCATCCATGTAATGACAAGCAAAACAGTGCCGAAACAGACTCTTCTTCATTCAAAAGGAAATATTCTTGTGTTGATAAGCAAAAAAAATGTCTTTTCTAAGAATTCTAAGAAGTGTTTTTCAGTGTGGGAAATTGGGACACGTTAAAGCAAATTGCGTCAAGAAAACCAAGTTAGTGTCAGACCACAGATACAACGTTGTAAATCAACGCGACTTACCGAGTACATCACACAGTTCTGAAATTTGCAGTTTTTGTGCTAAGAAAGGTCACAACTCATCAAATTGTTTTACCAAAGCCGCTATTGACAAACGTCGCAACATAAATTGTTTTTCCAGTGGAAAACCAGCTGGATCCACCGAAATATTAGTTGATGGTTATAAGTTTTCCTGTTTAGTTGATACTGGCGCTGATTTATCACTTATATCTGATAAGTAGGTACCTCAATTTATTGAAACTAAGGTTGTTAGCTGTAATGTTATTTTGAAAGGATTAGCTAACGTTACGATTAAAGCCACAAAGAAGTTTACGGGATGTGCGAAAATTTCTGGTGTTGACATTTTGTTGTGTTTTGTTTTTGTTTCTGATGGATGTCTCGATTATGACGTTTTGGTGGGACGTAACATCTTCGAAGATGAAAGTCTCGTCACCATAACAGATCATCAAGGATCGCGCATTGTGCGACGTCAGCTGCCCGGCATAAATCGTGTTTCAGAAGATTTTGGTGCTTTTGTCACAGAAGTAGTGGTACCTGAAGAGGAGCGCGTAGGTCTTGAAGTAATACTGCGAGATTTCAGTGAAATGATTACAACAGGTAATAAAGTTGGTGCAGTGAATAATGTAAGCCTCAAGATTCGTCTTGAAAAGGACATTGTCGTCTATCGTACCCCTTATCGATTAGCTGCCAATGAAAGGGACGCTGTACGTGAAATTGTGAACGATTTGTTGGAAAACAAAATTATACGGCCTAGTGAGTCACCATTCGCAAGTCCCGTACTGCTTGTGAAAAGAAAGATAATTCGTTCAGAATGTGTGTTGATTATCGCGAGCTAAACCGCGTCACCATTAAGGATAGATTTCCCTTGCCACTGGTTGACGATCAACTTGACAGACTCGGAAAAGGACGATACTTCACGTCTTTGGATATGGCTTCGGGGTTTCATCAAATTCCGATTCACGAGGAATCCATTCACAAGACAGCATTTATAACTCCAGACGGCCATTTCGAATATTTGCGAATGCCATTCGGCCTTGCTAACGCTCCAGCCGTATTTCAGAGAGCCGTGAATCTCGCCCTAGGCAACCTGAAGGACTCAATTGCACTAGTTTACCTAGATGACATTTTGATCCCGAGTAAGACACCAGAAGAGGGCTTTTCTCATCTACGATGTGTTTTGAAGGCACTTAGCGATGCAGGTTTTTCGTTGAACATCAAAAAATGCCGATTTCTCCAATCTACTCTGGAATACCTTGCAGAGAGGTATCGGGGTGATTGTGTAAGACCAGGAAAAGCCAAAACTGAAGCACTCATGAACTCGCCGACGCCAGAAAATGTGAAACAAGTACGCCAGTTCATGGGTCTAGCAGGGTATTTCCGCAAGTTCGTGCCTGAGTTTGCCAGTCGGACAGCATGCATAACTCGACTAACCAAGCAAGGTGTCCCATTCCATTGGGGTCAAGAACAGGAAGATGCGAGGAAGTATGTTATTGACCATCTAACATCAAGACCATTGCTGGCCGTATATGACCCGGAACTTCCGACAGAACTGCATACTGATGCAAGCAGCATCGCATATGGGGCTGTTTTAATTCAAAAACATGGAAACCTGTCCAAGGTAGTTGCTTACTTCAGTAAGCGAACGACCGACTGTGAAGCCAAGTACCATTCCCTACGAGTTGGAGACTTTAGCGATAGTTCAAGCTTTGAAACACTTCCGAACTTATTAGCTTCCGATTAAATTTGTCATCGTCACCGATTGCAATTCCATCAAGGCAACCTCTACTAAGAAAGACTTGGTACCCCGAATAGCTCGCTGGTGGGTGTACCTCCAAGACTTCAATTTTGAAATAATTTACCGAAAAGGAAGTAGTCTCCCGCATGTTGATTATTTGAGCAGAAATCCTGCAAAAATTTGCCGAGTGACGCATAAGAGTTGGGCATACATCGAGCAAAAAGGGAACGAAGAAGTCCAGAATATGCTGCAACAACTCAGAGAAGGCAACCTTGATGCAACCAGTATACTGAAAACGATGGAATGCTGTATCATAAGCAAGTGAATGCTGACGGTACGACGAATTTGCAATGGTTGTTCCTAAGCAAAGTCGCTTGGGCCTATTGCGCATTTTCCATGATGAGCAGTGTCACGTTGGACCTGAAAAGACATATGAGTCTATTGCTCAACATTTTTGGTTTCCGAGGATGAGAAATTTTGTCAAGCATTGTGTAATTTGTGCAGTAAAGAAAACGAGAAACAGGACCTCTACAGGGTTCATACACCCAGTGGACTTACCGAAAGAGCCATTTCATACGCTGCACATGGATTGTTTGGGTCCTCTACCAGCCTCTACTGATGGCTTCAAAACACGTTTTGGTAATAGTGGATTCTTTTACCAAGTACTGCATTTTAAACACCCATGAAGTCTGTGACTATTGCAGAGGCGCGTGAAAAGCTGCAGAATGTTCTAGCGTTGTTTGGAACTCCTAGACGAATAATAATGGACGCTGCCACGTCATTTAAGAACACCACGTTTCCGAAATACCTGGATCGATGGGGCATCGAATACCATTTTGTAACTCCAGATGTTCATAGGGGAAATGGACAGGTGGGAGCGCTACATGCGAACCATTAGAAACCTGATGAGAATTGATACTCAAATAAAGGCAGAATGGCCGAACGGGCTATGGAAGATTCAACTTGTTCTCAATTCAACTTTACAGAAAACCATTAACGCGACTCCTTACAGCTGCTTTTGGGCATCCGAAGCTCAACTCCGATGATACAAGCCCGTGCTGAAGAATGTTTCTAGGGATCTGACTCCCTTGCGCAACCGAGAATTGGATCGTCAACGATTAGCAGAAAGGCTGTCCGTTGTGCAAAACTGCGATAATGCGAACAAAAGGAGAAGAGACAATGTGCAATTTTCAGTCGGTGATTTTGTACTAATGCACCGAGACTCTCAGATGCACATCAGCAAAAGCGACTATGAGTTCCTTGGTCATTATGAGGTGGTTAAGTGCTTAGAAAATGGTCTCTGTCTCGTCAGTAGCAGAGCCAGCTGAATGCTGAGGTCTTCAGGATACTGTGAAAATGGTCTCTGTCTCGTCAGTAGCAGAGCCAGCTGAAGGCTGAGGTCTTCAGGATACTGTGAAAAATGGTCTCTGTCTCGTCAGTAGCAGAGCCAGCTGAAGGCTGAGGGCTTCAGGATACTGTGAAAATGGTCTCTGTCTCGTCAGTAGCAGAGCCAGCTGAAGGCTGAGGTCTTCAGGATACTGTGAAAATGGTCTCTGTCTCGTCAGTAGCAGAGCCAGCTGAAGGCTGAGGTCTTCAGGATACTGTGAAAATGGTCTCTGTCTCGTCAGTAGCAGAGCCAGCTGAAGGCTGAGGTCTTCAGGGATACTGTTGATGAGACGATTGCCGTCGTCACAGATGATGTTTTCTTTATTCAATTCCGAGTGTAATTCTGTTATCGAATTGTGGTATTGAATCTCAGTATCGATAGTGCTCGATTCGGATTTGAATCACATTTTTGTGAGATCATAGTTGTGGCAAGTACTCAAAGTGCTTGTATTTGATTGATTCACAGATTCGGCTAGTGGTGCAGGAGGGCGTCGAGAACGCCGCGGCCATCAGGAATGGCCGTGTAAGCAACGAGAATTTTCGGGAGCCGCTGCCGGTCACGGAGAGTACTGCTGCGTTATCTGCTGTTATCACTTCGACCAGCCGTCGACAGTCAGTCTGAGCAGAAACGTTGGGCGGTGCGCGTCGTGCCCGGATTCCCTGCCGCTCAGTTATATCGATAAACAATATTTGTTCGTAATAAAGGTGTATTTAACCAAAACTAGTGTTTTTCCGCATTGTTTCTAACATATATATTTGATGATGAGGATACCATACCAGGGACGCATAGATCTTACATAAGCGTAGTACAGTATTTTCAGTGTAAAGGTGTTGTGCAAATCACCAGTATTTATTACAATAAAACCATAAGCCTTTGAGGCAGCCACAGCAGCATTTTCGATGTGATAGGAGACTCCCAAGTCATTAATCGTATTAGGTCTGTCAAGTTTTCTGTCACCAATACTATATTCATACATCATTATTTTTAGTAAACGACAAAACGTGACACTTAGCAGCATTCAAAGCCAGTCTGTTTTCACGACACCAGTTGTCGACCCTTACAATGTTGTATTGCAAGCGATGACAATCGTCAATGTTAGAGACTCTACAGAAAAGTTTCATATCGTTATAAGATAATAAATAATAAAATAATAAGAAAATCGACATCGATAACTTCAGAAATATCATTTAAATGACAGAGGTCCCAAATTAGATCCTTGAGGAACAGCGGACATTACAGGGTATTCGCTTGACTTATGTCCATTGCACATAACATACTGTTTTAATATGAAATAAATAAGACCTGAAAAATAGCAACAATGCATCTGAAAGGACCAAATCTGGATAACTTATTGAGTAGGATGTTATGGGCTAAACTATCAAACGCTTTAGAGAAATCAGTATATATTACATCCCTCTGAAGTTGTCTATCGATTGATTCACAAACATATTGAGTAAGATGTAGCAAGTTAGTAACTGGGACCTGCCCTTCTGACGAAGATAGACCTGCTTACATGGAAATAAAGCACAGTTTGTATCACTATTTCAAATGTTTTATTAGCGAAATTACTGATAATTGTGATAGCCTGATAGTTTTCTACATAATTCCTCTCACCTTTTTTAAAAACAGGAGTTACCCTACAACTTCCAAATAGATGGAAAGTGATTATTTTTTAGAGAGAGATTGAAAATGATCATGAGTGAATATGCTAAAATGGACGCACAATCTCTCACAAAAAATGCAGGTATTTGATCAGGCCCTGCAGTTATTTTTGGCTTAATTTTCTTTAGCGCCTGTAGCACATCTTTTTCCTGTACACTAGGCATAGGTAGTGTGGTAGTGAGATGGTAGTCAGTAGAACAATCAGATTGAGCTCCCACTAAAGTGTTCCGCAAATGCGCCAACTACATCATTAGGTGTATTCAACCCCAGCCCATTGAACAGCATATTCTTCGGAATACCAGTGCAGATTCTTTTTCTATTAACAAAATACCAGAACATCTACATGTTGCTTTATCTCTGAGCGACGTCTTATAAACTTTTCTATATAATAAGTATTACCAGTGCGTCTGAAAGTCTTAAATGCCACCATTTTTTATTTGAAGGCTATTGTACCTAGGAGGATACCTATTATTATAAGATATTCTAAATTTAGGAACGCAACAATCCAGAATTCCATATATCTCACAATAGAAATATTCACAAGCTAAATCCACGTCACTAAATTTTTCAAACCGCCCTAGCTAATATTCATAATCATTTCATAGAGCAGCTGAAAGTCAGCTTTCCTAAAACTATATGAACCTTTAAAGTCGCTATGCAACACGTTATTATGTTTGGTGGAAGGAAAATGACTCACAGTGACAATCATTGCAGGATGATGGGGATCCTCAGACACTAACGCAACATCATCATGTTCAATATAGCAAATGACATTTAAAGTGTTTATGTAACTATTTGAGATACTATTTTCAAGATAATCAGCATGTTATATTAAAGTCCCCAACAATGAAAACACTGCCAGTATGTAGAAACGCTAGACTCTATGTATCGCTTCCAACAAGATTTCGTAGTCGGTAACGGTTACCTGAGAAGGTATGTACAGATTAATCACATATATTATGGAGTAATGGACACTGACTTTAATTACTAAAGTTTCTATCTTTGGACTGACCTGGTTGAATGGTGGGTACACACACACACATATACAGGGTGTTCCATAATTATTGCGACAAAATGATAGGGGTTGTAGAGGGCATAAAAATATGCAATTTTGCCTCATAAACCCCTGTTCGTAAATATGCCGTTTGAGCACTACCGCTAATTTTACCTTAAGAGCTCATAGGAGAAACAAAAAATTCAACAGCTGCAAAATGTTCGTCTAGCACATTTCATGGTCTCGCCGATTTGTAAAAAAAGCTTGCTGTGTTTACATTTTTGTTATCGTAAATTCTCCACACCGATTCATTTAATTTATCTGAGTGGTGCATCAAACTAGATAGTAAATAACAGTACCTTAGTGTTAAAATGCAGCGTTATTCGTATGCGGAACTTGCGGATATGCATTTAATTTATTTATTTATTTATTATTTTGCGGTTAGTACACTGCTCGACCAGATGATTCCATTTAACGAACAGGAAATATACAAAATACAAAAAAAAGAAAAAAAATCAATAAACACGTATCAAGTACATTACACACATTACATCTAAATAAGTTCTTAACCTACAGTCAAAAACGACCTTTTTAAAAGTGATATAGTGCAATGAAAAATGTCTACTAAATTCTTTACTTTTTCATAGTTGTTACACATTACATATAATGGCGAAAAAAGTAACACACTGGTACGAGGCACAGGTAAATAGAAATTGGTATTGTTAAACCTTATGTTTCGGTACGGTACGTGTAATGACAGCTTTTCTAAAAGAAACTGGCAATCAACTGTGTTGTTCAAAATTTTATATAAGAAAACTACAGCGCAGTAATTTCTGCGCTTAGATAAATTTACCATATTAAATCTACTGAGCAATAAGTCATTGCGAAATTTAGCCTCAGGATAAATCCCATCTCTCCTTGAACCATAAATATTTAGCAAAACGTCGCTGGATCTTTTCAATGCTGTCCGAATGTACATCATATGCAGGGTACCAAATTATACCTACTACAGTATTCGAGCTTACATCTAACAAACGCATTGAATAAAATAAAAGAGTTTTAGCATTATTATTATTATATTATTTACGGAGAAGCTGGTGGTAACTGAAGACGAGCCTCGTGAATCTACGCCCAACGGTTTTCCAGAACGTCCTCATCCGCATCACGCCATTTTTGCAAGGATTCTTGGGACGTCTTCGTGTCAGCGATTCTGCATCATGTAGAGGCCAATCCGCGTACAAGCGTGCGTGCTATTGCACATGAAATGGGAGCGTCTCAAACTACTGCTTGGCGGGTTCTCCATGACCAGCAACTACACCCATACCACCTTTTAAAAGTCCAAGCCATGGGTCCAGAAACTATCTGCCGCGTCGACGTTTTTGTCGTTGGTGGCTGCAGCATGAGTTGAGGCAACCAAACTTGGTCGCTACGTTTTGTTCACTGACGAGTCCTGTTTCACAAAGGACGGTTATTTTAATAGCCGTAACAGTCACATTTGGGATGAAGAAATCCCTCATGCCATAGCCATCCATAGAGACCAACATAGTTTTCAATTAACATCTGGTGCGGCATTGTGGACGAGCATATCATCGGGCCATATTTGCTTCCACCACGTTTGGATGGGCATGCTTATGGTCGATTCTTACAGCATGTGCTACCGGAACTATTAGAAAATGTGCCACTGAACATAAGACCCAACACGTGGTCTTTCAACACGATGGCGCTCCAGCCCACTTTTCTTTACAAGTGCGGCAGTATTTGGACGACAAATAGGTGGATAGGCCGAGGTGGCCCTGTGCCTTGGCCTGCGCGGTCACCCGACCTGACCCCACTGGATTATTTTCTCTGGGGCCATCTGAAAGCTTTAGTGTGCGAAACTCCTGTTCCCAACCAACAAGACCTACTGGGAAGAGTGATGGTCGCGTCCGCACATGTTCAGGACATACCGGGGGTATGCCACAGAGTTCGCCGATCATTGAACAATCGTGCACAGCTGTGTATTGAGCAAGGTGGAGGACACTTTGAGCATATACTGTAGGTAAGCTGTTTCAAGAAACTGATCTTTTTTTTGCTGCAGCCCAAACGGCATATTTCCGAACAGGGGTTTATATGGCAAAATTGTTCATTTTGATGCCCTCTACAACCCCTATCATTTTGTCGCAATAATTATGGAACACCCTGTATATATATATATATATATATATCGATGGCAGATGACTATTCACTTTGAGGGAGGAGCAGATTGCTCTTCCCCCCACTCCTCAAGGGTTTGAGGTTGCCTGGAACAGGGGTGGTGGAGGGACCGCACAGGGTAGGAGGGTATGTGTGTGTGTGACTATTCACTCCTAACAGCAACAGCCACTCCTTCTCCTTTCCTGAAATTCACTGCTGAAAACTAACCACCAAATCACTATTTGGTTTGGAATACTGTTTTTGTATTAAACAAACAGTGCACTAACCACTTTGTTCCTGTCTAAAGAAGCACGAGGCAACTTCAAACACACACCTTCCATGGAAATGTCGCCAGCATCCGTAGCCAAATGAAATAAGTGGCGAATTTGGCGCCCGTCGATATGAGATGCTCGCTCTACATAGGAAAAAAAAATTTGCATTTATCGAATACATCAACAATATTCGTACTGTAATTCACACGATGGGTTGTGACCTATGTTTGATCTGGCTATTTGAAACATAAAAGTTATGCAATATGGCTTAACAAACGTACGCAGGTGGCTGCATGTTACTGCATGTTGAGACACGTGTTTGATTTAGTTGTTCACTCGTATTGACAGTGTAAAGTGCGGTCTATGGCATCGTGGCCACGTAGTGAGATAAGCTCAGCTTTATGATTTAACTTTACGCGTGGTTCAAGCACATACCAGTGCTTAGAAGAAATGACGCTCGCATTGAAGAATTATTGTCTTCATAGTACAACTATACAATTTCAAAGGGGCAATTTCACTCTGGAGGACGCTGAGAGGGAAGGAATGCCGCGAACGTCAGTAACAGAGGAAAACATTACTGCTGTGATGGAAATGCTTGATCAAGACCGGAGAGTGACATGCCAACAGATAGAGAAGTCCTTACACCTTCATGCACCAGCAATTTATTCAATTCTGCATGACCATTTACACGTAAGGAAGCTTTGTTCTCTCTGGGTACCGCATAGTCTAACGATAGTCATACGACTCGGTATGTGAACAGCATCGTGACAGGTGTCGAGACTTGGCTCTATTATATACGATGTTCCCACAAAGGCTCGAAACAAAGTTTGAGTCTTTGATGATGAGGACACACCCGTAGCTGTTAGAAAATCCCGATCTGATAAGAAAAAATGATAGCTATATTTTTCAAATCGAGCGGGATTGTGATGCGTGTCGTTTTGGACCCACAGAAGACAGTCACAGCTAAGTGGTACACGGAACAGTGCCTGCCTAAAGTCATACAGTCGAGAATCAACACTTGTTACCTCCACCATGACAACACACAAAATGAACCAAAAAGGAAAACGGTTTTCTAGCGATGAGGACCTTCTGAGGGTTTGTGACAAGGAGTGTGCTGCACTCCCGGGTGGTCAATAAATAAAGATTTTGTACCCTTTGTATAACCAGCGTCCATCATACGACACGATTGCACATGGAAGCATCTCGTAACGTGTGCTGAGCTCTCAAGGTCAAAACCCCCCCACGATGGTTCGACATTCGAAAGACCCCATATTCTCGAAGAGACTAACTCCGCTCTTCTTCGTGATTCCTAGAGATGCTTTTATGTAGTTTGCTTTGCATGAAGTAATCAAGAAAGTATCCGTTATCAATCGGAATGAACAACATCGGTGCTAACGGTGATGACTATTTTTCAAGTCAGATAGTAATTACGAGTAAATAATTTTGATAAGTATTTGGTGTGAGCAGTACACGATTAATACAAATACGTGCTCGCTAATTACGTTTGGGCATAAAAATGCTGGAATGTCGTTGTAAATATATTGTTAGATTCTATTTCAAATATCTAAACGTGGCTCTCCCTATAACAGTGTTTGGTCGCTCACGCATGTGCGTCCAAGAACGGCGCGGGAGAAGACGTACTGCCGCGCCGGGCTCTCCGGGCAGACACCGCCTGACATTGACCGTGAGTGGTCGTAAATGGTAAAAACCTAACATCAGGTGTGGGGTACACGTGTACTTTTCGTAAACGTTTGGTATTCTGTGACGTTTTGTGGTTGTGAAAGACATTATGGCAGAAGAGTTGGCAAAGTCTCTAGGAGCAATTGCATCGATTTTGGAGAATCTACAGAGGAAGGTGGATGACAATGGAACGCAATCTTCAGCTCTTGTTATAAAAAAAACTCCTATTTCTTTGGCCTTGCCCAGTTTTGATCCGGACAGCACCGACAGCCACGTATGGTAACAAAAAATAGAGGGATATACAAATGAATTTGGTTGGTCTGACCGGGAAACTGTAAGTAGAATTGGACCTTTTCTATTAAAATCTGCACAAGGGTGGTTTTCTGTATGGCAACCTACTGAAGAAACATGGGAAAATTTCAAGATTGATTTTTCCGTATCATTTCCTAAACAGAAACATCTAGGTAAGCTTCTCAGTGAAGCAGTAGGTTATCATAGCTCAGAGGCCTGTAGTTACGTCGAATATACTAGAGTCAAACTCGAAAAGTTGAAACTTACCCGAGCTAGTTGGGTGGATTTGGATTTGATAGAGATTATCGCACACTCGATAGATGATGCCGTTGTAAGAACTGCTGCTTATAATTGTGGCGCGTCATCTGTAAGTGATTTGATTGCATTCCTTGCTAATTATACAGGGTGACTTCGAAGTTGAGTCATTTATTTTAACAGTGAGTAGATCTGATCAAAAGAAATGTTTTTTCCTTTAACATTTTTCTGGTAATATAAAGTAACCAAGTTATAGCCCTTTAGAAGTTTGAGTACCGCCCTGTCTCAATAATAATATTATGTGCTCGTGTTTGGCGACAACGGATATAATCCGCATCGGTTCATCGCATCGGAAACAAAAAAGCGAAAGACTTTGAAACGCTTATCACGATGTTTTTAGTTGGATTCAGTCGGTAACGCGTGAGTGAATAGTGGTGTTTGTTGCGTGGCTCAAACGAAATAAAAAATGGCACATGTTGTACAAAGGGCTCGTGAATCAGGTGACTTAAGAACTTACAGGGGAGGGCATGCCGGATGCCGGTGCTCCAAGACCGCACGATCAAATACAGGTCCGCGCTGAAATACTTGTCGGGAGGATACTTTATAAAACAAGGTACATTTTTTTTATTTTTACACACATACTTTGGTTTATCTTCCTTCTACAATCACTATCTGAAAATTAATGACTCAACTTCAAAGTCCTCCCTGTCCCACCCTGTATAAAAGTTCCATCATTCGATAAAATGTCCACATCCAAACAGTCAGAGTGATGACCTTCCACGAAAAAACTCCAAACAAATTAGTTGTTATTCCTGTGGCAAAATAGGCCATTTGTCTCGAGAGTGTAAAAGTAAGGCATTTCCAATTCACAGCAACAAAGATGCAAAAACGTTCTGTCGTTACTGCAAAAACCGAGCCATGAAATATCTTACTGTTTTCGTCGTCAAAACAAACGTGCTCGAGACAGTGGCGGCGAAACCAGTGTAGATAAGAAATTCAAAGGGGAACAACTTTTCCTTAATTCTCATGCTTCTGAGCTCGGTATATGTTTAAAGACGTTGCCAATTGTAATATCAGGTTATCGTACAAATTGTTTAGTAGATACTGGTTCGACATGTTCATTAATTAGTGAAACGCTGGTTGAAAAATTGAACCTTGATAAAATACGGCGTATCACAGCGTTACAGTGGTTTGGGGGTACTACTATTAATTCTTATTTTGTTACAAATGCCTTAGTGGAAATTTCTGATGCAAAATTGAAACTTGATTTTGTCGTAGTACCACAAAATCATTCTAAGTATGATGTTGTTATAGGTGAAAACGTCTATGAAAATAACTTTAATCAAGGATAAAAACGGGCAACAAATTTTTTGTGAACCTATACCCATCAATACCACCTATGATAATCTAGGCCCAGAAGTAGTTACCGATTTGGACTTTCATGATAAAGTAAGGCTACTTGAATCACTTGAAGACTATTCTCAGCTGTTAACTACCTCCGGCAAGCTATTCCGTGTCGTAAACACTGGGGAGTTAGTTATTACTCTAACTGAAAACAAAACTATTTATCATCACCCCTACCATATGTCGAAATATGAACGCCAAAATATACGTGAAATCGTTGCTGATCTTCTTGAAAATAAAATTATTCGTGAGAGCAACTCTTCTTTTGCAAGTCCCATAATCTTGACAAAAAAAGGGTGGTGGCACTCGTCTTTGCGTAGATTAACGCTCTCTTAATAAGATTACTGTTAAAGATCGCTACCCTCTTCCACACATAGATGAACAGTTGGACCGATTGGGTAAAAATGTATATTTCACATCACTTGATATGGCTTCGGGATTCCACCAGATACCAATTCACCCTGAATCAATTTCAAAAACTGCCTTTGTGACACCGGGCGGCCAATATGAGTACCTGAGGATGCCATTTGGTCTGGCTAATGCACCCGCCGTCTTCCAACGGGCCATTAATAAAGCTCCACGTAAACTTAAATATGATATCGCTATTGTTTACATGGACGACAACGTTATAACGTCTATTACAGTCGCCGAAGGGATGCTCAGATTAAAATTAGTTTTTGATGCATTGCTTGAAGCAGGATTCTCTATAAATCTCAAGAAATGTCGTTTTTTCATGAAGAGTATCACCTATCTAGGGCGAGTAATCTCAGCTGATGGTATCCAACCTGACCCTAATAAAGCTAAAGCAGTCAAAGAAAGTTTAGCCCCCACTAATGTGAAGCAGGTTCGCCAATTTATTGGATTGGCCAGTTATTTCCGAAGATTTATCCCTGGTTTTTCTTCTAGAGTAGCCTGCATAACTAATCTAACCAGGAATAATGTTGACTTTGCTTGGACGTCAGAATGTGAACAGGCAAGGCGATACATTATTGATGTCCTAACAGAAAAAACCTCTATTGTCCATATTTGATCCTTCTTTGGAAACACAGTTGCACACAGACGCCAGCAGTATCGGTTTTGGCGGCATTTTGTTACAGAAACATGGGAATACTTTCCGCCCAGTTGAATCAGCAGTATTTTCATCGTGTCATCGAATGAAATGAAAGACTATTGAGCAGTTACTGACGGAGCAGTCCGAGTAATGCTCTTCTTTTGCTTATTTCAGCAACTAAGAGCGAAATAGACGAGCAAGCTAAATCTCGACTATCAACCTTTGGAAGATGATGTTCAATAATAATCATGGCTTATAAGTAAATACATGCTGAGTAGGCATATATACCATAGTCTTAGTGTTCGCAATTTTGTAAATAGTTATCCATGTACTCCTGTAACTAGTTATCCATGTATTTTTGTAATTAGTTATCCAGGTATTTTCGTAATTTTGTAACCAATTATTCATGTACCTTCTAAATATCTTTATCGTTAGATAATAAAACTGTTTACTGTTAATTTGCCCAGAATTATTATTGTCATGAGCGGAATGATTTTAGTTTGGCCGTGTTAGATTCTATTGTAAATATCTAACTTGGCTCTCCCTGTAACACTGTTTGGTCGCTCACGCATATGCGCCCAAGAACGGCGCGGGAGAAGACGTACTGCCGCGCCGGGCAGACACTGCCTGACATTGACCGTGAGTGGTCGTAAATGGTAAAAATCTAACAATATAAACTGGTGGACAGTTGCTTTGTAATATGGAAAATCAAATCTCGATATTTTCGGACGAAAGGAGATATCTAGTTGCGGTACTCGGGAGATTCTTGACCAACTCTTTGAGAACACGTACAGGTTTCGACAAGTATATTTCTTATGTATCCACTTGAGCAAAGGAGGTCATGTTTTTTTAGCAAAGTTTGGGGCTATGTCAGATTCTCAATCTTTGATTCTGGCAATTTTTCTATGCACCTTTTTGATCTTTGGACTATCCTAAAAAAGTGATTTCTGAAATTTTATAACTCATATTATCGATTTTTTTACTTCCCGCAATAAATGTCTTTCGGCTCTATCTCGTATTTTTTTATTACCATCTCCATGCAAATAGGACGTTTCTCCGCTAAGTAACAATTATATTGACTGTAAACTTGACAGTATAATTTTATTTTCTCAAAAATGCCTCGTATTTTCCAAAATGAACGAGAAAACTGTATAAGATTATTGGGAGAAGGTCGTTTAGTGAATGATGTAGCTTTACTTTATAATGCTGATCCGTCCTCAATAAACCGGTTAAGGCTTAGATAGCAGGATACCGGGGATGGCCTACTTCCATGCAGTAGGTAATCCAAATTAATTCGAGGTCGGGCCGAAATACATTTATTGCAGGAGGACCGTTCCATCCAGAACCTTGAATGAAAACTTACAACGGCACAGTGGAATAATAGCATCCAATCGAACAGCAAGAAGAACTTCAAATTTTGATTTGTTAAGGTATGTAAATGTCAAAAAATTGGCTGATAGCATTTCTTCCAGAACAAGGCCTCGCGCCATGTGTAACCGAATCTTGAATAATCATAGTCGCCAGGTACCACTGGACAGAGGAACGGGTAAACTGGCAAGAGCAGTGGCAAGATTGCATGTTTTTCGATGAAACACTATACCACTCTAATTGCTTGGAGACAAGCTGGGGAATGATATGATGAAGAAAACATAGCTCCACAAGAGGCGTTTGGACTGGGGTTATGCACAATGGTAAAACCGAACTTTATATTTCAAACAGGACAGTCAATGCTGCAGTTTATAGGGACAATATTTAAAACAACTATGTTGTACCTTTTGCACAAGATTTTGGGGTGGATTTTGTCTTCATCGATGATAACGCCAGGCCGCGCACAGCTCGTACGGTATAAACCTTTTGGTAGGAAATAAACATTATAGCCACTGTCATCAAAGTCTCCAAACCTGAATATTATTTTGCATGCGTTGTCTCGGCTAAAATTTTTTGTGCGGTCAAGACAAAATACTCCTCAAACAGTGGAAGAGCTGTCTGATGCTATTCAGGAAGAGTGGAAAAACGTATCCCGATAATTTATTAATAACCTTCTGGAAAGTATGTCACGAAGATGTACAAGGTACTTAAAATATTGCTTAAAATAATTGTTGCTGTTTTGTGAAAAGTTTGTTTTTGTCTTGAATAAATAATTTATATATAGTAATAAACTGGTTTTTGAATTTTTGTTTCCTAAAATGTTTCATATTGTTAGTGTTGACCAATAAATTCTTTGATGTTGTTGAAAAATTTAATAGAGCCTATTACCTATTGAAGACATTACAATGAAGACGCGTACGCCAATGCTGAATGAGAAAGGTAAAAAACTCCAGATAAAAGATTAATAACAGTGTTAGCTAGCATCATAGCATTTTGAAAAATAAAAATTTTCATGTTATTAGCACTTCTTACCAAAATCTTTTGATGCTACGCCACTGGAATTCATCCCCCGATATGTTCATTATGCTGTTTAATTGCATAGTAAAATTTATAAATTTGGTTCAAATTACATAATGTCAAAGTTGCAAATTACTGCACGTCACTGGAGGCAATAATGTTCAGTAAGTGCTTCAATCTTTCCTCGGACGCAAAAAAGTCTACTTTATGCTACAGTATGAGAAAAATACCCATTGTCAAGAGAAAGCCCGAAAAGAACCTTTTTTAGGGAAAATGCAACACTTTAACATTCGATAATTTGAGATATCGCCAACTTTCGAAAAATTCGAGAAATTTTTTTAGGATAGCCCAAAGATCAAAAAGATGCATAGAAAAATTTCCAAAATCAAAAATTGACAATCTGACATAACCCCAAACTTTGCTAAAAAAACTGATTTCCTTTGCTCACCCTGTATAAGTGAATAAATAAAAGAAATATTCCCTGTATAGTTTTCAAAGAGAGTTGGTCAAAAACCTGCCGTATTTCGATATCTCTTTCCGTTCCGAAAATATCGAGACTTGAATTTGGGTAAAATTTTTCATGTTGCAAAGCAACTGTCCACCAGTTTATTTTAACTATGTAATGATAGAACAGCTTGAAAGTAAAATTTTCTACGGTAAAGGTTGATTAAAACTCAAGGTACATTTCCTATGGAAGTTTATTTAAATAAAAATATCAAATAAAATTTGTCATGTACAAAAAAGTAGGTACATAAACTTGCGAATTCCTTACAGTAAAAACCGATAAAACTAAATCACTAGAAAATCACCCAAATGGATAAATGAGTGAACGATGAAACATGACACACAGAAAAATCAAAATTACCATTGAATCTTATGCTTTAATGGTGCGAGCTTCATAAGAATATCTTTTTAAATTACACTTACTTCCCAAATAATCCACAAGTGCAAACACATAATCTTAATCTTATTAATACACTGCTGTCAAGATCTTTTTATTACATTTAAGTTATTAATTGGCACCAACACTCTACCCATTCACTCATAAAATTTGCTCGTGAACTATATATACATAACTACAACACAAAAACTAGTGAGCCTGGTAATAATGATAGTCCTTTAAATATTACATCTACATCAAGAAGGCTGATTCTTCTAAAACATCAAATATAAGATAGTTTTCATCCAGTCAGGATAGATTTGTGCAACTAAAAAGGAGGTAAATATTATACTTTTGGATCAAAGTGGATGCTACTGTCATGTCTACTGACTTTATTAAAGACAAATTGAAGTTTTGTCGAACTACAATCCAAAATTCTTGACAAAAACAATAATTTCAGCATTCTTGGTGTAATGAGATCAGTAGAGAGGTCAATAAATAACTATGACTCGGATACAGTCATCACTGATCATATGACGTCAATCTACACGAAATAAAAGTTTACCTCTCTAGTGGCCAAATATGGCAACGTGGTATATTACGCAGTGCATTGTCAAAACGACGTGAATCGATGATCTTGATATATACAGAGAAGAGCAAGTTGTATACGTCAAGGTACAAAATTAATCTCTAGTCCGTTGACAAGATTTGAATTGATGGATGCGTCACCTCCTTTACACACACGGACCATGCTTACATCATCGGTAGCTAACAACAAAACTGTGCTATTATATGTGTTAAGACCACTTTGCGCTAAGAAATTGCGCAACATTAGTTCTTTTACATCGTGCTTGGAGCAGAGCTAGTGATCACGGTGTAAACATGGTAATTGGTATTGCTGGACCTTGACGCAGTTCATCTTACTCTATTTTTACATAAAATCACACGATACACATTAGCGCATTCATACGACATCTTGCTCGCATTGGATGCTTAAACTAGAAACCTGTAATTTGACCTAGACTGTAGTGACTAACTACAAAACATTGCAGACCGTACGTTGTAGGATTCGCACCTACAACGACTGGCCTATAACTAATAGGAATACTGGGTCATCTTTGTAAGGGTACATTTCTTTTAAAGATATTCAATACAACACCGCGTAGCGTATAAAAGTTTCTATAGGTAAACTGGTATCTGGAACCCATAGAGAGAGATACATAATTGGACCTTCAGAAACTAAGTTGCAGTGTTTTGCATAGTATCCTGCTGAAAGACTAATCATATTAGACGAAAATACCTGTGGTTTGCGAAATAATTGTTTTATTGATGCAAGTTGTACAAGGGAGTATTTAAATAATGGACGCGTGAAATGGGTACACCAATTTTTGTATGAGAACTTTTTATTCGACAACAAAGAATGAGAAAAGTGTTTTTCGGGATTCAATCAAAAGTGTTGACAGGAAAGAAAAAACCCTTCAAATAAGATTTTTCGGTATTTATGAGACGCACCGCATGAAACGACATGTAAAAAGATCCGACTAATAGTAGAAAAGTTATGGCCGAACACCGAAGCAAGATGCAGGTTTTAGCACTTGTTGGTAATGCGATGATAGTTTCACGCAGATACTTGAAATTCCTCAAATTGGTGGGCTTCATACTTCTAAATAACGATAACAAAATTGGAGTCGATCGGTGGAGTAGTGTTTGAAAATTTCTAATTTCGTTTTTTGCATAAAAATAACAATTATCTCTCGGAATGGTTTGTGACTCATGTCGGCAAGGTAAGCTCGTATATTTCGCTATAAAATGCCCTCTGAATGAACCCTGCATATTGCTCAGTAAACTAGTAGTGATGGCCGGAAGGCAGGTGTTTTGGGATAAACAATTAGAAATTCTTCAAAACCACTTAACCAATCGACTCCAATTTTGATGTAGTTATTTATTAGTATGAAGCCTACAGATTTGAAAAATTTCAAGTGCCTAAACCTGCATTTTGCCTCGGTTTTTGCCCATAACTTTTTTACTATTGGTCGGATCTTTTTACGTGTGTTCTCATTCTGTAGGTCTCATAAATACCCAATATTTGAAGAGTTTTTGGTTCCTGACACTTTCGATTGGGTCCCAAAAAACACGTTTTCTCGTTCTTTGTTGTCGAATAAAAAGTTTTTCCACAAAAATTTATGTACCCATTTTATGCGTCAATTTTTTAAAAAACCCCTTGAACAACTCGCATCAATATACCAGACTTTACAATTATTTCGGGGAAATTTGCTAATATGCTTGGAATTATATCCCGAATTACTGGCCTCAATATGGAATCTGTTTAAAATGACTGACTTGAGGTTGAACGATTTTGGTGGAGGTCAGAGCCGAAACCAAGCTCATAGTTCATTAGTCAGATAGTCCACAAACCTTTAACAATTTTTATGTATGCAACTTAGAATTGACTTCCCATGATTTTACGATTATGATTTAGGATTTTGGAATAGACCCACATTTCCATTTACCAGAATGGGGATGATGGGAAATGACGCTTCCAGATACCTACTTACACAATTATGTTAACAAGAGAATAATATCGACAACTGTTCTATATTCTCTATAAAATCAACAGAAATGGACAAGTACAACTATGTTATTGAGGTTAAGATAGATGTATTGAATATCTTTTTACATTCAGAAAGAAAAAAATCTACAACGGCACATTTCTCCAAGTATAGAAACGTACCAAAACTATGATTAAGATTTTTTTAAGAATGAGTACCATGCGATGTTACAGTGGCAGTGGGTTGGAACGATAGGACATTACGATTATAGGATACCAAGTAAATCATTTTTCTATGTCACTTAGCTCAAGTAACTTGAAAACCGATCTCTTTAATCAGACAGTAGCATTACTCTTGCTAAGTCCCTTTAACGTTATCATAGACAACCTACTAAACTGGAAGAGAGTAGTACTTATGTTACGCCACTGCTTATTTATATTTGTGCATGCATCTCAGTGTACTCAAAGAGACACCGCCTTAACATCGGCGTACGCTGCTTCTCTTCCACTAACGTAGTTATTTCAATGAAAGGAGTTAAAATAATACGTAATTAGCACTGCGATTATGACAGTCTAAGAAATACTACAGAAAAACGAGTTACTTTTAGAATCCCATCGTACATGATAAGTATAATAGATTAGTATCAAGAGTAACGTCCTCAACTAAAGTCGTATATAAGCCCGCAATATAATACATATTCCAGAACAAATAGAATTGACTAGAATAAAAGGTGATGGCAAGATTATTTCTACATCTATGTATACACGTACATTCACAATATATGAACATTGAACATCGATCCCAGAGACAAAAGTGAAATGCCCATTTTATTCGATATCAGTTATTTGTTCCTTAATAATAATGATAATAATACTTGAAGTTTGGTTTCTGTTACCAGCTAAGATGCACATGATTAATATTTCAAGACTTACCACTCAATAAGTTTGATACCGCACAATTATTTTCGGATGTATTATAAATGACATTGTAGTTTAGTCATGTAAGGCTCAGAAAATCTATAGCAGAGTTCGTGCGTTCCTTACGGTTTCGAAAAACGATATTTTCAAGGCAAGGTAGCATTTTTCAAATGTGGAAATATACACTTTACTTCTAATAATTTCTTATAATTAAAGGGAGTATTAAAATTAGGTAGTTCACGAGCTTTTTGTGGTACTATTTTGTGCAATACTGTTTCTCTGCATTTCTTTGTGATAATCTCTGAGGAACTCACTTAAAGCACTTCAAGCTAACTTCAAACCCTTATTGTTTTTATCCTTGCTTGTCATTCTGTGAGGTATTCGCAATTTATGTATCTACTTAGTACAGCGTCTAGTAAAAATGTGCGACAGGAAACTTACTGAGTAAATGTTTTGTGTTAACAAAATCAAGAGTAAAACTTGTATGCCTGCGAGCAATCAGCGACTCATTTCCTTGATCTACTTAGAGCTCTGTTTGAACACTTCTGCATGCATATAGTTTGGAAAAACTAATCCATTCATCTACGGCAATATTTGTGAAAAAAAATTAACACCGAAGGAAGTATAGTACAGTAATATAAACAAGCTAAACTAAAAACTCGTTCGTTTATTATCCAGGAGTTTTGGTTACGATTTCGTATCTTCGTCTTATCTCCTCTTTGGTATTCAGATTTCAGTATAAGTACTGAGTACGGTAGTATCTTGATTATAACTGGCTTATCTTAAAAATGAATAGATGGAGGTGAAATTATGTAAGGATGAGATTAATATGAAATTATGAAAAATATAGACTTTTGGACGAATTCTTTGAAATAAGATTTTGACTAATTTTGTGAAAAATGAGTTTCATCCAGGGTTTACACCTCCACGTAAACTAACCTTAACCTAGGAACGTTCTAAAAGTTCTGGTTCAAATCAGTCATTTAAATCTAAAAAATAAGTAACAACAGTTCATCACTTACTACTATATTTATATAAACCGACAATTGAGCTCATAATTGACTTTGGTTGAGGCCTTGTCGCGGGTTGACTTTAGGTATACAAAACCAAGTATAACTTGAACACATTTTAGAATTGTATTCATTATTCTATTGCATCACTTAACTATCGAAGAGGAGCTAGGGAAGTAGAACTTGTAGGTTGTATAGATGTGTCATATTCCGACAACAAAAATCTGCGTAAGTTGGAAAGGTCAGAAAGAACAGACTCACCATAAGTGGAGCTCAAACCTGTCATCCACTAGATGCGTTTTTGTCCTACAATCTGACGAAAACTTATTTCTATCGTTCTACATGGCGTCATGAAATTTGAACAGCAAAGTTATAAATCTGACAAATATTTGACATTTGAGGGGAAGATTTAAAGTAAGATTGCAGGTCGGGATATCTCTTTCTAGCCCGTTTGATATACTTCATCACGGGTCACTGTTATCAGTCAGCTAGAGTACCTGCTTAAAGTTCTGAGAATTGTGCGCTCAAATTTCCCATTTCTGTCTTTTTTTTAGATTTCAGTCCCTCCCACGGGTGAAAAGTAATATGATAAAATAACATACAATTACATCGTGTGGTTATGCTTGGTTCTGTTAAAATACAGGGGGCTGAAAAGAAGTATCTAATTGTTAAATTATTAGATTAATACGATAATAGCAATTCTTAATCAAACATGACGCAAAAGTTTCGCAATGGTAAGATATTTGGGAATATTCAAGTGGCTTGGTATAAGTAAAATAATAGATGTTCAGTAGGGTAGATACTCTATGCGAATACTACAATCACATCTCGCGAATATTAGCAAGAAACAAGGAAGTTAGTCACAGTTATATTTCCAATGTGGGATTTCGAACATACATGCGGTCATGTAACAACTGTCCAAGCAATTATTGTAAAGGATTGATGTAGCAGTAGTTGACGTGGTACAATTACACACACGGGCAGCCTGCGACATACCTGTATAACCTTTCCTCTGTTAACCATGAGCTGCGCAAAAATTTTGTCAAAGGGGAGCTAAAGTAATTTTGATTGTCGTACTCTGATAAGATATCTTCTCGGTGGCGACCTTGAAGCTGACCTTGAGCATGACCGTGAAATCAAGGTCAAGACGCTTTTTTAATTTGACCCTATATCTTTGACACCATGAACAGAGCTGAATATGTTGCATTCTGGAATAACCTTGGGTAAAAAATATTATCAATGCTAAATTGGAGGTCACACTATGCTTTTACAATTTTACTTTTACTATGCCCCTTTAATATCCTCAAATACCTTGACGTACCGGAACTTTAGGAGCACCCTGCATGATCAGATCCATAAATCCGTAATTCTGATTCGGATTAGGAATATAGTTTCCATTAGGAATCCTAATCGGAATCAGAGCTGTGAATATATGCGGCTGGTTTCAACTTGATTCTGCTACATTAACAAGTGACTCTTTTCTTCACCCACCCTGTATCGAGGACTAACGCGGCGTAGAAATGTGCCCAGTATATAAATTCTCTACGGTTACATATAATTTACGTCTGCAGTAGAACCAAAGGCAGTACGACTGCAGAGACAGTCTTGTGTAGGGGCACGGGCCTGAACCATGTCGAAAGCTTTGATGTGTGAGTGCGTTTTCAAGTGGGGGATGCTTTGACCATCCTTGGGGGTTGGTTGATGGAGAGGCGGTGTTGCCGCTTATTCCTCGTCGTGTTCGGGCTCCTCGCCGGGGCCGTACATGTCGGCGAGCTTGTCGAAACGCGGACCCCAGGCGCCTAGGTAGTCGTACTCCTGGACTTCGTCGTCAGTACCTGAAAAAAATAAAAAGTAGCATTGTGAATTTAGCCTTTTTAAATAATATGATATATGTAACTCAAATATAGTTAGTGGCATAAAAAGTAGAATACATACATGACATACATGTGGGATTTGATAATTAGCTGTTGAATTATATTTTACTATAAAACCTTAAAGTTTGACAGTCCGCATGTCTGCTATGTCGACAGGTGGACCTGTGAATTTTGTGTAAAGTGACATCATTTATGGAAACAAAAACAAGTAAAGGTATAATAACAATCTGTCCATAAAATCAGACTTTTATCAAAAAACCAAGAAACTTAAATGCTTTTGTGTTATAATACATTACAGTTTATTTTAATATATAATATATTTTTTGAGATGTCTGAAAATGACGCCTTTGATGTTGAACATGCAATTGAAGAAGTATATGAAGCTAACAATACAAGGAGCGTTTTTAAATATCAGTGAACAAATGCTTCATTCTAAGACTGATGGTGTGTACAACATCAAGAGGACATTTTTGAACATTTTCTGTACAAGTAAAAATATTTTAAATTTTAGTTATGTTTGCTTATACGCGTCATTTTCAGACATCTCAAGAAATTAATTTTATGTTATGATGATGATCAAAGCTACAACACAAAAGCATTGAATTATTGCTTTCTTGATGAAAGCCTGATTTTATAGATAGATTGTCAGTAATCCTTATTTTGTTTTTTGAAACAAATAGCGGTAACGTAGGAACCGTTTGAACAAACTGGTAGCAAACCCGTATTTGAAAAATGCTGATGAAAATGGGAATCCGATAGTGCAAAAATATACAGTGTGTTCAATTTAATTTTCTTGCGAATAAGTACATTTTGCGTTTTTGACCACCATTTAAAAAATGGACGAATAACGCTGAAACTGAGTGAAGTAGCACATTTTTGACATAAAGTTCATGACTTCACCTGTCAACATAACAGATATCCAGGCTGACAAACTTCGATTTTTTATACAGGATGATTCACAAACCGTGACCAAGAATGAAACATTATGCACAGGACTGCATTTTAATAGGGGTCTTCTATGTAACATTTTTACCTCGAGGGCTTCATTGAAAAGATACGGAGTGTTGAAGTTTAAAAATAAAAAACAAGTTTTTTAATATCTTCAAAATCGTCAACTGGAATGAATTAAAGTTTGGTATGTGTATTTATACGTCGTAACTCCAATAACGAAAACTAGAGGTGACTTAGTATCATATGTAGGGGAAACCCAAACCATAACTCCTACAGTATGCTGCTTATGACGTTCAACTGAAAACTCTACATTACATACGTATTTCTCTGCGTTCTGACTCGTGCCGTCCATGACGCATTCTGTTGCACCACCAAAAACAATGTTATACAATTCATCATTCCAGCATTCTTGGTCTTGGTTTCGTTTAGGAATGCATGTCGGATATGAGCGAGCCTGAAGGCGTTTCCATAAATCTGTCAGTTAAACGTGCATGATAGATACTACAGTGCCGTACTTAGTAGAAGGCAATAAAGTGTGAAAATCGAAGTCAGCGAGAACTGAGTCCAGAATTCTCGATCATCTACGAATTAAATGAATAGTATTAAGCCGCGTACAGACCGAGATTTCAACGCTAGCCAAGACTGTGCATGTGGTTACAGATTTGGAGGTGTTCGAATCCGTGTGTACGGCGCTAGGCAAACTAAACCGACGGTTTCCAAGGTAGCCGTTGGCGTACGATTGCGTTCGCTCCTTGATCGGTACATCAAAGGGAGGTTTGATTTGGTCTGGACAGGATTTGTTGCGCTTCTAGTATTTAGTCGTAGTATGGGTTCGATAAGAGGAGACTCGACACTCGACATTAGCACCGAACATAACCCAATGCGGTCCAACTCTAAGCTTGTAGGTGTAGACGAGCGCATTCCAATACCTTCCAACAGCTAACGCCAACATAACATGTGCTTGCATTCGTTTTTTTTTGGATTTTGGTCTGTACGCGGCTTTCCGACAGAACAAAAGTGAATGGATGTTGCCAATTTACATGACTATATAAAGTCATTTAAATGAAAGTTCCAATCATAATTATTACGGAGGTCTAAAATAAATGATATTCCGCCTTCAATTGTCGTAAATCAAAAAGCAGTAACATATGCCTTTATATTCTGCAAAAACAAATTTACTGGTTTTTCGTAGTTTTCGTAATCTATTTATACTATTTTTTCATAGCTAAAACGCAATAATTCAGGTTTTTTTTTTGCACTAGGACATTGCGTCCCATTAGCCAGATCCAATCTTGTATATGTATGTTTCTAATTATGGACAAACACACGACGTCACAACATCCATGGTTTCGAAATGTGATTTCCGAAGGCGAGATTCGAACTCGCGGCCCGGCCGGCCGGCTGATCAGTAGCACGACACTCTGACCCACGCGGCCAACCGAGGTCCCTGGGGTTCTATTTGATTTTAATGTAATTTAGTCATATTGAAATTCTTATAAATAGCGCAACAGTAAATTTTTTCAACATCGAATGATTCAGTTTTATAATTATATAACAACATTTAATAATAATTATATATAACAAAAATAATTATGCGGATGAACTAAAAACTGCATATTTTATTATATGTTAAGTTAAACGACTTATTCACAAATAAGATATATTGCTAAGCGATAACCTCAATAATGCTCAAGACAGCCTCCTTTTTGTTCTCCTAGATGTCAATAGCCCATTAAAATGTATGCAGAAAAATATATTTTTTTTAACTCATTCTCCATGAGCTCTTCCTGCTGTGGAAAACAAAGTAACGAAGGACAATTAGCTTGGGATTATAAACCTCAAGAAGACATAAAATCATGATATATTAAAATGGTGAAATACATGACAATCGTGCATATATAATAGTTTTCGCTAATTTCATGTGTAAGAAACCATATTAGCAAGTATCCTTGAAACACGCCTTCCAACCTCTGTATGATAACATTGAGAACTGTGCACCACTCATCCTGTAGCGTCAAGAAGTTCGCTTGATGATTATGCAATTAGATCGTATTTTTGGCGGGTCGTACTAAAACTACCGGCAACTCTTTTATACGTCCATCTTCCTCACACATACATATACAACCTGCCTCTGTGCAAGCTCAGACATAGGTTTAGTTTCGTCTTGCCACTTCGAAGACTAGAGATAGGAGGTCAAGCCGTAGCTAAGAGTAGATATACAAGTAGGTATTCGACAGAACAAGATAACCTGCTTTGTAGGTTTATTACTTCGTGGTTTAATGATATTATCCAATATTTCTGCTTACAGCTTGTCCGAACCATCAAAATTACAGTTGTTTACAGTCCATGCACAGCACCTGAAATTAATTTGCTACGCAGTGTAGCAACTCACTTCATCGTCGACATTTTCGGCTTCACCCCAAGAATGGTGAGAAGAACTGTCTGTATTTTTTTTGACTGCTTCGTCGAAAGAATCCGAAAAATATTCAGTATTCGTGGCATATTAACCAATAATAAAAGTAAAACGTATGCAACAAATTTATGTAAGTTACATGAAAAATACATGATCATGATTTGACGTACCTGAAGCCAAGGAGCTGAGTGATCCAGCAGTACTGCCGCCGCCTTCGTAAGCGTAGTTCCTCAAATCGTCGAAAGGTGGCGCGTTCGGATCGCAATCTGCCCGTTTCTTGTGCTCTTCGATGAAGATGCCAACGTTGGTCTCCTGACCAATCGCTAATACGGGAACTAGAAATATAGCTTTGTCAGTACCTACTATCACAAAACCAAAATAGGTGCAATATTCATTCATTGCATTTATTTCCTCTTTTCAAACAATGCTGTATACAGCTATGGAAAAAATAGAAAAACAGTAGGAATAGTTGTACATTTAAACAAAGGTTTTGATCTGGTAGATTACAAGTTTCTTCTACAAAAACTGGAGCTATACGGAGTAAGGAGACTTCCACATATAAAGGTGTGAGAGATACCTGAGCAATACGTCTCTATATGTACGGATTGGTAACTGCAAATGCGACTCAACTACATACGACATTGGAGTGCCTCAGGACTCAATACTTACTACAGAATCTACGTCAATGAGTCAATGATTTCAACAGCAACAACTTTGTTATCTATGCAAATGATTCGTCTCTCTTAGTAGATACTACCACAGCTCCAACACTTGCTTCATCCGCGACAAGTGAGTTTACAAAGGTTAATGAGTGGTTTACTGATAACGGCCTGGCATTGAACAGAGAAAACTCATTGTTTCTCCGTTTCATGTATACTTCAGAGCCAGATCACAGCTTATTGATTAAACCGCATAGAGGAACAATGATAATGTAGTTTCTTGGACCGCACCTAACTTAAAATAACTGTAGTTGTGATCATCACATGAATCACCTTTGAAAAAATCACTCCAGTGGAGTATTGCAAAAATAGATTCCGGCTTATAGCTGATAGCCAGACTTATGATGCACTACTACCTCGCCTACTTTCAATCAGCTATAGCCTATGATTTAATATTGTCTAGCAAACAGGGCTTTTGTTGTTCAAGATAAGGTTGAAAATTAATGGCGGAGGTATACAGAATGGCCAGTTGTAGGAAAATTTACAAAGAGATGAGAATTTTAACCCTAACATGTATGTATATTTATGAGTTATTGACACATGTTAAAACAAATTTTACAAGCTGTCGGAGTCTGATAGTTGCAACTATAATATTGGGAATGATTCAACGCTGAAATTTCCTGCTCACAGGCTTGCCAAGGGGGAAATAGACCCGAACTACAGCCCTACAATAAGCTGCCCAAAAAAGGATTACAAAATTAAACACATATCTACACAAAAAATAAATCAAAAGAATGCTTCTCAAGAAAGCGCATTGTTTTATAAATAAATTTCTTTGTCAAACTAGTAATTCTTAGCTAAGTGTTTTGTGTATGCAGTTGTATATTGTCTATTATATTTTTTAATCATTTTATACGTCGCTCTGTAAATTGACGTGGACGCTTTCATATATTTATTTGTTCTTTTAGCTTCTATAATGTTTCTATTTTATATACAATATTTATCTTATATTTTATGTGATTACATATTTGTACCATTCTTTTATTAGTTTACTGTTTTTTGACGGATTCTATCTCATCAAAAAATAACAACGTGAATAATATATACTAAGTGACATATAAATCCGAACACTCAGTTTAAATGGTTTTATTTAATAAAAGTTGGTGAATGTATTTATCTTACTGTAAATAACAAGTGAAAAAATTTTCAGCCTTATCAGTTGGACATTCCGGTTTTTATACTGCTTTTTTTTAATTCACTAACACTCCAAAAATGAATATTTCAGCCGCAGTAAAGAATCAACGTTGGCGGATTTTGGTTCTTAACATCCTTTACGATCGGTTACGATGCCTAGAGTACGATTTCGTCAACTTAGTGAGTTTGATAGGGGCCGTATAGTGGGACTTCGGGAAGCTGCACTTTCTTTTCGGGCAATTCCAGTTAGAGTGCAAAGAAGTGTAGACACTGTGGTTAGGTGTTGTCAGGCATGGCTTCGAGAAGGCCGTACGCAAAGAGCAAGGGGCACTGGACGCCGCCGTAGAACAACAGACCGTGAGGATCGCCGCCTAAGATTATTGGCCTTAAGGGACCGTTTCTCCACTACCAGGTCCATTGCAAATGAATGGTTTGCAGAACACGGAAGACCTATTGGCATGCGAAGTGTTTACCGACGAATGATAAGTTTTGGCTTGTTTTCATACCGGCCACACTGGGTCCTCCCTTTAACTCGAGAACACCGACGTAATCGCCTTGAGTGGTGCAGACAACGGTCACTCTGGGATCAGGAATGGAACAGTATTGTCTTTAGTGACGAGTCTCGATTTTGTTTAGGCATGCACGATGGTCGTGCCACGGTTAGAAGGCGACGTGGTGAAAGGAGGAATCCACAGTTTTTTGTGAAAGACATGTTCATCACACTGTTGGAGTTATGGCTTGGGGTGCTATAGCTTATGGTTCCAGGTCACCTTTAACCTGCACCAGAGGTAACATGAACGCGCAGCGTTATATCCACGAAGTTCTAGAACCCCTTCTTTTACCCTATCTTGACACCCTGGCAGATCCAACTTTCCAACAAGATAATGCCCGACCACATGTTGCAAGAGTCACAATAGACTTCTTTCAACATAATGATGTCACATTGTTACCATGGCCAGATCTCCCGACTTATCCCCAATTGAGCACGTGTGGGATATGATGGGTAGGAGATTGCTCAATTTGCAACGTCCTCCTCAGACTCTAGAAGCACTTCGAGAGGAGTTGGTGGTTGCCTGGAATGAGATACCACAGGAGGACATTGACCACCTGATCAGAAGCATGCCTAGGCGCGTTGGAGAATGCGTAGCACATCAGGGTGCATCCACACATTATTAAAGGTCAAAGGGCTTTAAAGCAGTGCAATCATTGTGAAATTTTTATCATTTACTTATTATGCTTCATTAAGTACTTATACAAAATTTTATTAAAATAAAACCATTTAAACTGGGTGTTCGGATTTATATGTCACTTAGTATATTATCATTCATGTCGATTTTATTTTTTAAAGATTACGTCATCTAGAGGTCCTCTACCTGAAATTTGTACCTTGTATTTTGTAGAAAACGGTGAATCTACGTAATGATTAATGTTTCACGTTACGTAGAACCCACGGCCTAGTGCTATTTTTTCAGTTTAATTTGGAAATCGTAAATCTTCTCCGCGACAACAATGTTGACAGGTATGGGTGGGTCACAGAAACCATATTTATACCGGTTTGTTGCGTTTCCGCCATCGTTGGTAAGAGTGTCTCGGTAAAGACATGATCAATCTTGAGTTTAGATATATTTAGCAAATAGTAAAACTGAGAAGAACTTAAAAAAATCAAAAGAGCGACTTACATCCAAGCTTCGGTGCAGTCATCTCAGGCATAGGAACGCCGATGGGTATCTGCAAAGGCGTAATATCAAAAGCTGTCATGTCATCTTCGCCACCTCCTTCGTCATCATAGTTGATGATGTTCTCTCTGACGTCATCATCCGGTCCAGGGTACTTGATGTGAGCCTCTCGCCTGCGGTTGTACACCACAAAGACCAGAACCAGGACTATAAAATTGATTATACCCGTCAGATAGTGAGAGTTGAAAAAAATTAAAGGGTATTGGAAGCTGTTAACTAGCTAGTAATATTTAGAAACTGGATATGTCCGCTTCAATTGGAAATCTTTTGTATCTCTTTAAATAGAACTATCTAGGCGGTTTGAATGCCATTGGCCAGCCCAAATCGGACAACTGTCTACGTTAAGTTCAAAGTGATATCTTGTGTTGACGTTATCAAGAACATATTTCTGTAGTCGAGAGGTTATGGTAAGTCAAATTCTATCTAAGATGGAGTTGTTCCAAAAAGTCACGAATTACTGATTCCCACAGCTTTTTTATTCAAAATACATCCATGGGCATTTCTGAAAGTTCCCCTTCGAGGCCTATTAGTCTACTGCAGAGTTCTTATTTAATTAACTACTTTAGACAAATTGAGTTTTAGTAAGAAACTTTTGCTATTTATTATTTTATTCAATGTAAGGCAGACATTTTTAAAATGTATGTGACAACATGCAATTCTAGGACAACCTAGACAGGTAGTGTAAAAAAATTTCAAAAAGATATAGATTTTAGATGTTTAAATTAGTTGAATTTATCGAATCAATGCACGTGCTTGTTGGGACGAAGACGACATTGAATCATCACTATTTAGGCGTAGTTTTTAGTTCTCTCATGTCACATATTTTTAAGGAGTTGAATTGGAACACGAGGTTTGCTAAACAAAATTCTGAAGCAAAAGTGTAATTTTCGAGTTATAAAAAGAAAATTGTTCACGTTGTCGCATTTCTTTCGAAATTTTGAGAGCATACCTCGGACTGGGATCCAGAATCACAAAAAACATGTTAAGTGAGATACATCCAACTACCCCAAAACATTCCGTTTTCTCTACACGGCGCTTGAAATGCTAAAAACACTAGAGATTTTTATTTGAAGCGGACATATTAGTTTAAGCTAAAGTTTACATAAATTAACATACACAACCAGTACAAGGCTAAGTCAATACTAGCATTATTTTAAAACTCTTTAAAGGTAATTCTTCGAATAGTTGAGTAGCGTAGTGAATTTGTTATGAGAACTGTCCTTGCAAGTATAATTCTTGAAAAACAGTCGCTCTCTGTTACATAATCATCCAAAAACATTTTTGAATAGATAACGTATGTAATAAAAGTTTTTTCGCAAAATCCGTTGGATTTAATTTTAACAAACACAAAATAATATCAAGTTGCTTTTGGAAACAAAAGTTTGTTTACTTACTTTACTGTCAGAAGGCATTTATGTATTTTGAAATTTTCGCTTTAAGATTTCGTATAAATTAGAAATCAGAAAAAGTATCTACAAGTTGGTTGGGCGGGTACCCAAAGCTGAAATCTGTCGAATATTCCAGAATGAAAACGCAGAACTATTTATCGAACAATAGCGGAGTGCGAGCAGGAAATACCCTGTCTGAATCTCAGAAAAAGTGGAAGACCACATACATATACTGCACAGAGGTCAGAGAGATTGGCGAGAAGAGCAAAAAATCAGGTTAGAATGTCAACAAGGAGACTGCCTCGTCAATACAGATTTTCTAAGAGTACGATATCGTTGGAAGTGAGGAGGAATGGTCTTAAATATCGAAAGAGACTTAAGTGCCGCAAACACTCTCAAGATAAACAAAAATCATTACTGTAGATGACGTAAAGTAGTTTACTATGAGTAATTCTAAAATGAAGGAGATCGACGGATTGTATACGGACAACGTAGAGGAATGCCCTGGCAATATTAGATACAAGCATAAAGCGGAATTTGGAGATGAAATCCTTGTCTGGTGCGCAGTTTTTAACATTGGTGTATCCCAACGTTTTGCGGGAAGAGTGAGGGGTGAAGCTTTGGATAGTCAGAACTATATTGATAAATGCCTTCCAAATTGCTTCAGTTTATCCACGAACATCATGATAATGACCATATCATGTTTTGGCCAGACGTAGCATCATGTCATTACTCAAGAGTTATCCAAAACTGGCTTCGACAACACAACATACCTTTAGAGGATTTTTGGGCTTTACAGTATTGGAAGGTTTATCATGGAAGCTGGGAAGCCCAAGATGAAGAACAGTTAAGAGGGCGTTTCTACGAAAAACTGAGACAAATTGATCTGAATTCCATCCAGGACCTCATGAGAGACATTCGTAGAAAGATGCGCCTGGTAGAGCATAATTCGATGGTATAGTTTCGTCAAGTATTGAGTTGCAGTTTGTGATAACTACGTAGTTAGTGTTTAAATAAATTTCTTCATTAGAACAAAACCGATAAATATTTTGTGCCAAAACTTTTAAGACGTAACGTTGTACAGTGAAAATAACAAATTCAGACTATTCAAAAATAAATTGTATTGCCATGTTAAACTTCTGCTTTGCTCTATAAAAACATACAACAGAATAATCCTAATATTGACCTACCTTTTGTATGCAACTCAACCATATCAAATTTAGTAAACGTGGAATTTGAATGTAACGGTGGGGAGAGATTGCAAATTTACAAAATAATATTCAAAGGCCATCAGAACTTCATGGCGCTGTTTAATTCCATACAATACCATTTCCTGGTAGCTGTACAGCAAACTGCCCAATTGTGCGTCATGTCAAAAGATAAAAGATACCATATTTCATTGTATTCTCTCCCCAGCGTCCATACGAGAATATAATGCGAAATAATTTGCTTTATTAGTGCAGATACAGTGGTAGCCAACATTATGCAATGTGTTTCAATTAGAGATTGACCTCATTTTGATGAAATGCCATATTAATGGAGAAGAAAATGTATCGTTATTTGATTCTTGAAAGAAGTTGAAAATAAACGGTATTATATGTTTAGTGGTTTTTACACCTTTCAGAATAGCCTTCCTTTATTTATATCTTCATCACTTCTTTCACTTCGGCTTTAAATACACGGCAACCAGACATTGGGTGACAAAGATTTAGGCGAAAAAGTACCTTCCGTATTGACTGCTTTATCAGATAATAAATTGAGGATTGCAAAGTTAATTTTTTCAGTCTTGGCTACCACTAAATAAACTATAAACACTAGCTAGCTATTATTTGCCAAGACGGCCTTAAAGTTGGGACTTTCCTTTACATTGCGCATAGCTCTTGCAAGAATAAGTAAATTACAAAACAGCAGAAATATTGGGTCCAAGAAAAATCTATTTGAGTACGGCACTGTATTTCACCCTATATTCAGCTAAGAAGCCTTGATGCGTCTCAGTGTCGTGTAGGTGAATCGAATGCCTGTTGACAAATGGTGTATGGAGAAAAAACGAAAGTTGCACATCCGTATTCCAATAACGAACTTGTCGATATCGTGTTTATTTACGTAGGTGATTTAAAAATGGTGTTGAAGCCTCACACTTGTATCCAGGTTGTTTTTCGCGACTTTTCCATGCTGCATGGGTTGAGTTATATCGTATCGTATAAAGATCTAAGGCCACATGCTGTTTGGAAGAACGTGGACCTAGGAAACACTGAGTGTTGTAAACGACGAGCATTAATTTGTGTCTTTGGAATCGAATGACGACAACTTCGAACAGTCTCTATGAGCATTATAGATAAAGCGGTACTTGAAATTTCTTACCAAAGAACTATAGTACTTCAAATACTTTTTGTTATTTTTTGCTCACAGCATTAATATGCTAATGCAATGTTATTTCAATCGTAGTTATTCCTTTGAAGGATTTCCCAACTTTCAGACCTCCCAGAATATAAGTTGTCAAATAATAACCAACATTGAGTGCGTGTTGACACTTTTGTCTTAAATATGTGCATGTCTAGAAGTGTAACAACTAAAACACTGATAGCTGATTAACCTAATCTATTATTATTAACTTACAGAAAATCTGACTTGTAACTGACTCTTAAGTTCCGAACTCCTGTGAATGTGTCCAGCCTCGCTTTACTTTAGGCAACGATACATATTCTGACCGAACGTTGATAAGGAAAAAAGACTACCAACATACTTGTAGGTGCATCTAGGTTATTTTCAACAGATGTAAGAACTAGTAATATTTAAGTGAAACACTGTTGTTTCCGCACAATTCTGTCAATTTTGGTATTATTATATCCAGTAAGCTACTTCCATCGTTTTGAAAATATAGTGTTTTCGATAATAGATTCATAATCAAGGATCTGAAAAACGCTAGATTAATCAAACTTTAGATATTCGTCAAACTTTTAGGGGACTGGTTCCAATGTAATTCAGTTGAAACGGTACTGGTAGATAGATTAGGTTTCCCAAAAATATATTGCATCCACTACTTTGCAGAATGATACTCAATAATAGTCCTTAATCCCCATATCCCTGAACCAAATTCAAGCAGATCATAGTTTCATATTAAAATGTGTCCTAAAAGGTCTGGTTCCGAAGATACGAGGTGACAAAAGCCTCCCACAATAATTAGCCTATCAACGTTTCGGTATCGGAGTACATTAGGCGTCATTCGACAATTCTGCCTAATTTTAGTGAAGTCTGGAGACACACTCGTCTGGAGCTTGTAAATACTCACCCAACAAGCACAACAGACACACGATAACGGCCAAAATAAAATCTCTGGAAGGCATGATGGCCCCTGCGGAGGCCAGTTCCAATTCGCAATGGCCCCCCGTGTACCCCGGCGGACAGGCGCATTCGTACCTGAGCGGGGGTCGTAGTCTCGGCAAATGCCCCCATTGGTGCACGGGAGCCACATGCACTCGTTCTCGTTCACGCATGTGCTCTCCTGGTACTTGTAGCCTGACTGACATCTAATGTGCATATACATAACAGGTATGTGTTAACGGGTTTGTGTTTGGTAGTGTATGAGATGGATATGGATTTTGTTGTCAGAGAGGATTATGTTATATCTCGTGGTTTATGATTTTTGTCAAGGGAGTAACTTCAGACATATCAAAAATTGTGCTGTGCGCAACGAAGGTCAATGCATATCATACGCTGTGCGCTATACTAGCGCTTACAGCAACACCAGTGACCACGGGTGAAACATTGGCTATGTTTACAACGCGGTAGGCTAACCACAGGATTGTGCTATTATATATGTTGACACTACTATGTGCTAAGAGATAGCGCAATACAAGCTCATTTAAGGCGTGCGCTGTGCGCTATAGCATGTGCTGAGAGCATTGTGATCACGGTATAAACATTATCAGCTTGTGTTGCGTTCTAGGTTTAGCCTAGCACGCAGTTTGAGTGCTGCGCTATCTTGGAACGATGCGATGTTAACGCACTGCGCAGCATAGTCCTGTGGTTAGCTACCCATGGTGCCTGCGGGCACTGGCGCTACGCTAACAAAAGCACGTTGCATTATATCATGGCATAACGTACAGAACAGCACGAATCTGTTGCTAGCTAACGACGGTGTGAATATCACGAAATGTTCTCTTTGTATCACGCACGAAAGCTGTGTCCAGTGCATATGCTTTGACGAATGGTGTCAAAAATTGTTTACTACGCTTTTCGAAAGTGTTTTCCTTTATTTTAAGGGCCGCGTGATGAAATTTGACATGAACATTTCGCATGGCAACTGGCAACCTGGCAAAAGTAAATGAGGTTGTGTACACTGACAACAGCGTATGTATGTAAAGTGAACAGTATACTACTATTCCTTACAAGCTGAGTATCCGGCAACGCCAACACATGTCAGATATGAACATTTTGCCAGTTTGTCAGTTGTCAAATATGTCAAATTTCAAATCATGTCATGCGACCCTATTCTTAGTATACAACAACAGCGTTGGGACAGATTAACGGAATAATTCCTTAGCTTTCCTTTAAATTTAACACCCTGAGGGCCAGTTTTTAAACCGTAGCTTAACTGCAATTTCAGCAATAACCGAAAGTTGAACATCAAGAAGCGCTTTTCCAAGTCAGGTTCGTCCTAAACGGTAGTTAACTTTAACCAGAGGACCAGGAATTGGAGAAATAGGAAGTAGTAGCTAGACCGCAATGTCTCTCTCTATTTTGCTTGACAGTGACAAGAGGTGTCACCAATTACATGATACGTAAATACCGAGCACAGAACACGATAGTTCTGACACAGATGCAGCGTCGATCAATGTTGACAAGTCAGTTAGCCATAAAATCGAAACGATTTTCGGGTAACTTATAGTCAACTTGAAAACAATAGTTGCACAACTTGAAAGTTCAATTGTGATCGAAAACCACAGCCTAAGGGTTAGGGCTGTAGCTCCCTGGTTTTTAGATGAAATACATAATTTTTAAGTCTTAGTTATCGACAAGAAATTTTAGCCAAATAATTTATAATCGCCTATTTAGTCAGCTTCATCATAACACGTCAAAACCCGAGATGCTACTGGCAAGTATTTTGAGTGTCTGCCACGTTTTAACTCATTTTCTGTTTTTGAATAATCTCTAGATTATTATCGGACTCTAGTCCGATCGGCTACAGAGCTCTAAATGGGTTGTACCGGATTCTCTTAATAAACTATTTTTTTTATGGTTCTGCAATAGACCTCAAAGAGGTAAGAGCTTTTCAAATGATCTACGACAAGCCCTTACTTTCAGTTTAAATATTTAGAGATTGACAGCTCTAACGCTTAGAGTGTTGAATATAAGGCTGGAATTTTAAAACAATAAAATTTCATTCTAAAGTTGATTTGATCCGGGGCTTTTATGAATATGCACAGCAACTGAGCAAACGAACTTATTCCATTTGACTGTCCCACACTATTTGCCAGCGTAATCTCTTGAGCAATCGGAAAACAATTCAAGGGTTAAAACAGAGTTCTGACATAAGATTTATACGCGTAAGTTATGTTGTACGATTTTACACTCGCAACAGTAAAGATTTATTTTCTAAGAGCAAAAGAGCAATGGAGTAATACATAATACATTGTAGATGTACCCGAGCGTATCGCCATGTTTCTCGTGTTAAAAATATGAACGTGTTTGGTATGTAGAACAAAGTTATTGTGATATATGCGAGATATACGTGGAATGGGTGTGGGAAGTATAGACATGTGAACGGGTGTGGTGATAAGGTGGATTGCGCAGTGTTATAAGTAGTTTTATGTGATCTGTAACATCTATAACAGTTGAACAGAGAAAAACTACTTACTCACCAAGATTTGATGACTGGTTGCTTTGGCACTGAATTTGTTTGTTAGTACTGATTCTTACCATATAATAAGGCATGCGGGTATGCAAAAGGCTGACTAAATTACTAAATGGTGAGCTACATGCACATGCTTCATATGTCACAGTGAATAAATAATACATTTAGGTTGTATAGAGCAAAATTACCAAATCGCTGCTTTCATTTTACCTGACTAGCTGAAATGTTATTACCATATCCCGGTATGGAGATTATACAGAGTCTTACTGACCAGACCTCGTATATGGTTATCAAGCTTATCGACCAATTCAGGCTATTTTGCACCGGACAATAGACGTAAAATATGCGAACGTTGGCACAGCAATAACCATATTATGCCTGTCGATTGTACATGGATTTAATGCTTCAAAATTTTATTATCTACATTTACTCCCATCTACGCGTTACAGCCAGATTATGTTGTATCTGGTCATGTACAAGTTAAATCAGGATGAAAAGCTGATATTTGTTTTTAAAATGAGATGACTGAAAATAGTAATAGATGAGGCAAAACTCGCATTCGTGAAAAAATATTCCAACTCACGATTGTTGATTGCTGATGAATCATGATGTTGCCAGGCAGCGACCCGGTGCAAATTTGCTTGAACAATTCCTTTAACACATTAAAAGTCAATGTTCTTTTTATAATTTTTGAGTGAGTTTTCACGCATTACAAATGTCATTTTTCGGGTCTCGAGTCTAAATCCCTTATAACTGGTAAACGGTAAATTTTATGGAACTGTTACTGATAATCGTTTTCATCTTGCACCAGTTTTCCGCCTAAAAATCTGTTGATTCATGGAAAGGGGCATCCATCAAATGTGGCTATTATAAGAAAAATCAGGTTCTAATCTTCACTAAGTATATTTTTCGTTTAGAATGATAAAAAGAAATAAAAATGACTGGAGCGAAAAAGCTAATTATTTTGTAATTTGTTTAAAAAAGTGTTAAAAAAATTTCTGTTTATGGTAACGGGCATCCATCAACATGATTATCAAATAAAAATCAAGTTCAAACCTTCATGAATGCGATATTTCAAGTAGATATGCTAGGATGGCTCTGGAACAGTTAATTTTATTTATAGGATGTTCCAAAGGTTTGGCATCTCTCGAGGTTATTCCACAGAAAAAAAAAATCATAAGAACGCATATCTAAAACGTCTTGAATTTTGAGATACATGATAGTAAGCTTTAAAAAATTACAATTTTCATAGTATTTAACACTCCACTCTAGATGTTTTAATGAAATTTGGTACACATTAGGCATTTCTAAACGTACAAATAGAAATAGCTCTTTTCATTCTTCCATTGAAATTTGAGCTAAACGGTTCTGATTGTAACAAAAATTATTTATTTAATTCACATTCACTCTTGAGCAAAAATCAGTCTCGTGATGTTCTGATGTTTTCGCGTTCCAATAAGAAATATTTCTCTGCATAGTGATAAATATGCTCGTGGACATGGAATGTGGAAATTGTTCAAAAATAACAACCAATATAACACCAACATAATGATCCTACTTACTTTCGCGAAAGAGTAAATTAGTAAAAACAAATTCATCAGCATCCAATTTGCTGAGAAGAGATTGACAAACGTAGGAATATTTTCTGTGAGGATAAAGATCGATACCAGTATTTTAAAAATCAATGTACCCGTGCATCAGAAAATGTACGTATGTACGTATAGTGCGACCATTCACCAAGCTCCATTCAAATACATAGAAATACGGAATTTGGGACGTTGAGAAATAGGTTCATGTGTAGCTTTTGCTTAACATGAACTCAAGAATTGTCACTTCAATATTCTACCCCACTTTTGCAACACCCATTATGAAATAAATATAAATAAAACTTATCATACGAGTGCCAAAAAGCCTTACAAAGTTATCAATAAATATGCAGTGGGAGTTGTTCTAACGATGTGACAATTTGTTTTGACAAATACTAAGTTACATGTAGTGTTGATTTAAATTATTATGCGCCTTCATATACGCCTTGTTCTAAGATAAAATGAAGCAGCGAAGTGTACTCTGCCCTATAGTTAAGGTGGTCAAGTTTTCCACCTTTCTAGTAGTCCGAGAGATTGCATACCATTCATAAAAGTAACTGATATGCTGAAGCTTGATTATGTTTACTATAATTAATTTATTACCCCAACCTTTTAGATAAAGCTTTATGTTAAAATTGGATGAGCTCAGCTGAAGCCAGTCTATGCTGCAATGAATCTTTTTCCATTTGAGAGTGCCTATTCAACTGTGTATCAGTAATTGCTATTGGCCCGGGTACCATACTGTCCATCTTCACTTATAGTGCAATTTGGCGTAATCAGTGATATAGAGGCTAAGTATGTTTGGCTCGTCCGTCGCAGAATCTACATTCAAACTGGTATGCATTCCCTCAAACTACAGCGCCTGATAAAGATCAATGAACAGCAGCTCACTGAGTATGATGAGCAGACAGACGAGAATGGCGGCAAGTGCGCCCATGCTGAGCTTGAGTGTTTGTCCCTCTTGCACCAACTCGCAGTTCTCTCCCCAGAATCCGTCGGGACAATCGCACCGATATCGCAGCCTTGGTTCCAGGTTGACACACCTGCCGCCGTTCAGACAGGGCAGATCCAGGCACTCGTCCTTGTCCACGCAGTCCTTGCTGTCTGGCGACATCGCTCGACCTTCACCGCAACTGAGTGGCGCAGGCGCGAAGATGGTTAGCCAGCGGTTGAGGTTAGGTTTGTGATTGTAGGGGATGGGAATATTTTTTTCACGACACTTCATCGCGGTTTGACGTCTATTGAGGCCATGGAGCCTATATACCAGGAGAAGAAGCTACGGAGTGCCAGAGGTGCTTTGACAGGGTTGCCATTTTGGGGGATTTTTACTTTTTGTGCATGTAATGTTCTAGGGGATAGCACACGTTTGGCGGATAAAAAGCATCCCCCGCTCTCTGAACAACCAAATATACCACTTTCCATTAAGTAACTGTGATTTGGGGGATCTGAGGGATTTTATCTTGCTTTCTGGAAATTTTGTCCGACCCATCTGGCAGTGCTATGCTTTGACATGAATACCAACAAACAGATTCCCATTTTGTTCATTATAAATTAACTCAAATATTTTTGCTTATTTCTTATTAATTGTTACTGTTATTTAGTTATTTGTAAAGAACTGTTGGAAAGCCTCTATTTGGCGGTAACGAATTGTTTTACGAGGGAGAACAGTAGCATGTTTGTTGTTTGGAATCCCTGCTATCCTCCAAAATGCTGGTGAAAAACGCAATCTTCTGCCCAAAGACCGACAAGTAACACTGAAGATGAAGATTGAGTGATTGAATAATCAAATCTGCAAGAATTTATTCCAAGTGTTTTTGAAAAGGTAAAGTATTGAGTGTGATCTATAATAATGAAAACAGAAGTTATTCGTAAAACCTGTGAGTTGGCACCTAGCTGATTAGCTTTTAGGGTCTTACGGGGGTGATTTCACGATTTAGTTCAGTATCAAACTGTGGTATCACCACAAGCCAGCTTGAAATTAAAATATTTCCTAATCTCAAATATCCTGCGTATGCACAGAAGCTGGTACACACTTCAATCACTGCGCTCTCAGGCAGGTGTCAAGTTTGGGGTAGTTTTTTTCTCATTACGCCGGTTCTTCTGGTATATGGGTTCTATAGTTCAGTTTGTATTGTTGGCGATAGTGAACCTGGTAGAACTCGCTAGAATTATTTGCAAATTTTTCGCCTCAAAGCGTCTTAGGAAGTATGAAACTGTAGCGTAGAAACACAAACAAAATGTGTCTGTTTACAGATCCGTCAAAGTTATGTGTTACCTGTCGCCATGGGGTTTTTGAGTCTCATTAGCTCATTAGCTGTTATTTGTTCTCACGTTTTAATGTGATGAAGTATCGTGAAAAATAGATTGGGAAAATGTCATCTGCCACTTTGACACTTTACGGAAGCTCAATCGATTACAAAATGTTTGGTTCTGGTGTTTCTGTTCAGCTTCATTCAGTTTCCGTTTAAAGATCACTGAGTAACTGATGTCAAACAGGTGACCAAAATGGTGAGGATAGTGTTCTTGTTAACCTTAGATGGTGTTCGTTTTTTGAAATTCATGTTATTTATCAGAATTAGAATATGCGACAGAAATCACGAAATGTCAGTTGTTATATAATAGCAACTTCAGGTTTGTGTGAAAACAACCATTGTTTTAAAGCTTGTCACCGAATAGTGTCTAGTTAGAATAGCAGTCGAGAACATTTAAACTTCGGGGTTTTGGGATTATAGGGTTAGGGTTAGGCGGTAAATAATGTATGTTGATGGAATACTACTGGCTAACAAATGTATCGTATATGGAAATCGTCTGGCAACTATGTAAGTTACTATTTTGCACAGAAGTATTGATATCTGGATGCAAGCCGCTTGAATCTTAGTATATGAAAAATGTACATACATCTCTTGTTAGCTTTAACTGGAAAAAGCTCCTCATAGCTCAAACCTATTTGATATGTCCGTTCTGCAGTTTTCTCGCACAAACATCAATATTTATTTGCAATACTCCAGCGCCTTTTATACCCCATTTACAGCTATAATTTATCTGTACGGAAACACATTAATCCGTGTTTGTATAATCCTGGCAAGTCCCTACATACGTGCATATATTTGTAAAGCATAAATGCACAAATCCTATAGGTAGAGCTGGAACATTCGAAAACTTGCAACTTTAAGCCCTAGGTTTTAATCGTACTTTCATACTCGGCTTTTGCTATAATGCTTGGTTAGTGCACCGGCTAAAGGGGGATAAGCAGCCCAGGGATAAGCGAATTTATTCTTCATGTAGAGATTTAGGTTCAAAGTGAAAGACACGAAGGTTTTTCACGTCTGCGTTCCAATTGAAGTAAAGGGCCGAACAAAATTAAAAACCTCTTTGAATAATACTGATATAAATAAATGTAGCGAAAAATAATAATCAGTTCAGCTCAGGGTGTATATGTAAACAACAACAATGACCGCTTTCTATTACAATAAATGAAAATTTGTACTCCCTTTATTGTAAAATATTAATATTTTAAGCACACAACATAACGGATGATACAAATACCCTCATATTTTGCCGCTAAAAAGTATAATAATCTACCACGATAAAGGTAGCGCAAGCAAAATTATGATTTCACATCTAACTCACTGTTAAAGGTGTCAGCAAGATAGGAAATGATTTTCAAGTATTTTCAATTTTTGACAGGTTTTCGAATGAATAGCTGTGGAGTAGTTTACTAAGAAAAATTTATCGGGAAAATATACGAATGATAGGAATACGTTTTTGTCAACGGTCCATAAGGAGGAGACAGTGAAATAATAAACAAATTTTAAGTTGGTCACATCTAGAATATTTTGCGTTCAAATATCTCTTAATGTATGTATTGTAAATGTTCATATTTTTTGTATTGTAGTGCTTCATTGTACTTCAAAAGCCCGAGCTACGCATGTTGCCATTTTTTCCCCAAATTGGCCCGTTTTAACATTTGTTTTTATTTTAGCGCACTGGCGCAGCACTCTGATTTTCACATATGTTTTGTGTGTGACAAACAAAAATCTAAAATACATATGTATATGTATATTCAATTGCAAACATTTCATAAATGCGATCAACTTGAAATTTGAGTCACTTTCAGGACCAAAAAACGTTTCTTACCCTTCACGACAAGCATGTTTTGAAAATCCACTGTTACACTTTAGATCGTTGCTCTATTACCCATCAGTATAGCTCATGCACAAAAGTACGACACATAATCGACCAATATAAATATTTTTATTGCCAATTGTTTATATCGTAACATAGAGTAGAGTAGGATTAATAGTTGCAATTGCAAGATCTTCCGTAGCATCGTAGTATTCAGACTCATCATCAGCATCTGGACTAAGAGCGTTTGCTATCCTGATATATTCGTTGTTATCTGGAATGCTGGTATGCGAGGTTACGAAAGTCACGCTGCGGCTAGTGATCAGATCAATAGCGGGTGAGCACTTTTGTGGATTCACCATTAGCTTATATTGCCTACTGAAACTATTCTCCGAATCAGTAGCACTACTCACCTCCATTACAATGCTTGCTTTTGACTTAAGGTGGAAAGGCATCCGATGTCGTTCTAGACTACCCTGTCGATATCGTTCCCGACTTACATTTTGGTCAGTCTCTGTACTACTCGACTCCGTTTCTACCAATTTCACATGTATTAACTTTTCGCTCGTCTTTACCATTACATCAACAGTGGCTACGAGAACAGTTTCAGTACCTACTTCCCTTTCACTCACTTCCTCATTTTCCTGAGTTGACTTTGTTGCACCTGCTTCTGCCATTTCTAACTCTATTTTATTCTCTTTAGCTGTTGCCCGGGTTTCGTCGTTTTGGAGTACTTTTTCCTCATCAATTTTATCTCTACTGCTATGCTTGAACACAGCCTCCGTTCTCTCCATGGTAGGCCATTGGTGGAAATTCTTGCGTTTCTGATTTTGGAAAGCTGGAGACTGTTCCTTATTTGCTTTTGGCTCTGAGTGTTTTTCCTCCTCTTGTAGGCTTACTTCTTTGTAGCACTCATCCTCGACATCAACCATCTTCAATTCTTTCCTTCCATATTCTTCATTTTCGTTGATCTCGGCCGGCATTCCTTCATCTAGTCCTGCTCTGGCGTCCTGTTCTTCAGTCATTATCACTGCCACTTCAGGCAAGCTGACCCATCGGCTTTCATCTCCTTCCTTGCTATCTCCAAAGAGCATTGTAGTTTCAGGTTCTACCCCTTCGATTGACATCCCCTCTCCACCTCCTTGGTGTTTACTTGCCACATTGCGCATGACGTCCACCATGAATATCAAATCTTCAAAGATTGCTTGTTGGAGTAAGGGTGGCTTTAATTCAGCTCTCACTCTAGGGCCCAAACAAGGGGTGGACCACGCTCTTGGAAGACGTCCCACAAGCTCTGGATAGTCCTCGATTCCAGCGATGTTGATGTACCTGCGGTTGCGCCTGTGGGAGCCTTCTGACATTACAGGGGGTAGCAAGGTGTCTAGAGGTGTCCCTAGTGTTGGAGGTTGATACTCAGGGCTTTCTGGTCTCAAGTCATTATCCGTAGTATCATCACTGTCATCAAACTGAGACTTCCATTGACTAGCAAGCGTTACCATTCCAGCTCCTCGTGTCACCGGTTGGCTGAAGATATCATCGTCCATTTGAGCGAATTGCGTGACCGTTTGGTCCTTGAATCCAGATCCACTGGTCCTTGCCATCGGGGCTAGTCTACTCCGTTTATCTTCTGACTGCGACTGGGCAGGTAGCTTTTCTTGATCTGGAGATTTCGTCCCACCACCACCACCACCTAATTTTCCTCCCGTGGGCGTAGCTACCCTCAACCTGTTCAAATTAGACTGCGACTTCTTGACAGGCCTCTGCTTGTTGACAATTGATTTATCATAATCAGTAGACGAATATTGCTCTGTGTGTGTTGCGGCCTTACGTATTCTTTGCAGCAGGTTGTGATATCCAGCGTGTTGACTTGTCAATTCATTGACGTCGGTTTGTGTGATTTTGACTATATGAGTATCTGCCTCTTTCTGCTTGATGTCTTTGTTGTCGGTGGTGATGGGATCGATGTTTTTTTTATCGTTTTCGGTCACAGGTGCTGTATGTTGCTGTT